CGGGGCGGGGCGAGGCGGGGTGGGCGGGGCGGGGCGGGGCGGCCTCGCAGGCTAACGAAGGAGCAGCCCCGCGCGCCCCGCCACAGTCGGTCCCGTTTATCGACCCATCTTGACGTCACCGCGAGTAAGCCAATCAATCGGCAGTATCTGGGATAGACCGGCGGCCCTCCTGCAGGCTGATTTCGAACAGTGCCTTTGTCGCCCTGTCTCTCACCTATGGGACGTCCCGTTGGGGTGCGAGAGAGACAGCGATGATGCACAGGGCCTGCTGCAAAGCGCGTGTGCATAGTGTGTCGGCTGTCCAGGCTGCGCCAGGCCCGCCTCGCCCGGCCCGCCTCGCCGAGAGCCGCCGAGTGCCGCCGAGTCCGAGAGCCGCCCTTGGGAGGCCGCGGGTCGTTGCCGCCGAAATGGTTTCGCCCGACGGCAAGCAATCCAAACTGGGCCGTGTTCCGGTGGACCGGCGCGACTTGGGCCCCTGACGGCGTTCGACGACCCACAGCCCACGCCGCGCTCCCAAAGGCAGACCACCAGCCAGGCCAACAGCCAGGCCCTTGGCCTGGACCGCTCCTGGACCGCCGCCCGGGCGGCCTTGTCGGCAAGTGCGCCGCAAGGAGGCGACGTCCTGCCTGCCCTGCCTGTCCCGACGCACCGTGTTCTTATTGGCCACTGACCGAGAGGGACGCGTGCAAAGCGAGGGCATGGCGAAGCATGGCCAGGGCAAAGCTGGTTCTGTGTCAGGCGGTTTTGGCGGTATTGGCAGTGTCTCATTTCCAGGATCACCCAATGGCAAAGCGGCTCGACGGCCCAAAGAGTCGCGATGGCGGCAAGGTGTCGGCTGCGGAAACTGATGCGGCGGCTCTAGTCCGAGCTTTTAGTCCAGCGGTTCCCAACCTTGGGGTCGCGAAAAAATTTCGAGGGGTCGCGGCGATGTGGCTGGGGTCGCCTGGGGTCGCGGTGGTTTCCCGGCTGGCCCACACGCCGAGTACTGGCTGCTTAAATGCCGCAAAGTTGATCAAAACGGTCACAAATGTCTGCGAAAAATCGTGTTTTGGGCTGACTTTAGGCATCCACTGCGTCTGATTCGAGGCGGTATTTCGTCCTCCCTCAACGGGCAATTGGACTTTGGACCTTCCTTTAGCATGCCTTTCTTACGGAGTGCGATTATCTGCCTTAGTTTGGGAGCAGTATTGCCGCAAAGTTGATCAAAACGGTCATAAATGTCTTTGAAAAATCGTGTTTTAAGCCGACTTTAAGCAGCCACTGCGTCTGATCCGAGGCGGTATTTCGTCCTCCCTCAGCGGGCAATTGGTCTTTGGACCTTCCATTAGTATGCCATTGTTACGGAGTGCGATTATCTGCCTTAGTTTGGGAGCACTTGAACGTATCGGCAGCAGTGCAGAGCATCGCGCGTCATGTTGGAGCCCCTCCTTAACACAAGTGGGGCCCTCGTCACACGGCGTACGTTTATGGACAGGCGCACTTTTTGGGTTCGCCACTTACGTCGCCCGCGATCGAAGCATCCGCGACCCGCGAACGCGGTCAAGGGCGAGCGGCGAACTTTGGGGTGGAAGCGGACGGCTCTCGCTCTGGCGCTCTGTCGCTCTGCCGCGCGTTCAGGTCTCCGCTCCGCTCTCCGCTCGAGGATCAGCGGCGGCAGCGGCAGCAGCAGTAGCAGCAGTAACAACAACAACAACAACAACAACAACAACAACCAAACAACAACAACACGTTGGCGAAGCACGCACCGATAAATCCGTCGGCCGTCATTCGCGTAGAGCGCAGCGCTCGGGCTGACATGGAGAAAAACCGCGGTGGCGGGGCGGGACCACACTCGCGGCCCAGGCAGAAACGAAGCCTGGGCATCCTCGCACCGTGATGAACTTCCTTTTCATTTTGCTCAGAACGCGGCGGCCTCGGTCTGCTCGCAGGGGCCGTCCCTTAACTACGTCGCGCCCTTTCGGCGAAGAAAAGGAGGGGGGAGGAGGGCCCTTTTGAACCCATGCAGTGCAACAAGCAGAGAAGTGGCAATCTCGTCCGTTTCGTCCGAGACTTCGGCCAATGACATGGTCTCCGTTTCCTGCTTGGAACGCAGGAGCTCCTTGCCCCGCATTGCCACGCCGCCACGCCGCCACGCCCCTGAGGCCGAAGTCCGCCGCGTCCCGCGAGTGGCGGCGGTGGCAGCGTGGCGGCGAATTGATGGTCGCGTTTTATGGATCCTTTCGACGCCGCCGCGGCGCGCCGCGTAGCCAGGCGTAGCCTAGGCCATTCCGGTGGTCGGACTTGAGTTATCGTGTGACAACAAGCATCTCGGCGCCAGTTAACTTAGGTTTCCTTTTATTGGGTTTCATTGGATCGTTTCACTAGGAACACTGAAAATTGAATGGCAAGACTGATGGCCAAAATTTGGTGAGACAAAAAAGTCTCGCCATTTTTTGGCGAGAAACTAAAGTCTCGCCATTTTTTGGCGAGAAACAAATGTCTCGCCAAAATATGGCAATAATTGCAACCCCACTCTATTTGATACTGGGAAATATATCCCAATCAAGATCACTCTGGTAAACACATCACTAACTACAGTCTTTCAATTACTCAAGTTGAAAATAATACAGGAAGCTATCACTTTCAGATATGAAAATATTAATGTTAGGTTATATGATGTGAATTTGGTTTGCGTCAGCAAAGCGTTGCCCAACTATTTACTTTTTTTTGTCATCGTTTAAAAAGACATTGGTCCAGTGGGAGGTCTCTTTCAGTGTCCATGTAGTTAGAGATAATGTCTTTAATAAGAGGCCTAAACAAAGCGACATCCATGATGACACAAGTTCTTACTCTCTCCTTTGACTTATTCCAATCCCCAGCTTAACCTTGCTGCACTTGGGCATTGTTGGAGGTTCCATGGACAGAACTCGGTTAATAAACTCGAGTTAAGAAAGTTCTGTGCACTATCTAGCACTCTCCGTTTCGCCGTCTCCACTGGACAAAATGCCAAAGTACAGCAGCAGCACTTTAAATCGCCAACACAGATATAATGAAGAAAACATATTAGTGCACAGACAAGCAACACAGCAACAGGACTGCCATGTTGAAATTCATTTGTTGTCCTCGTTGTGTCGTCTGCTACAGTAGCACTTGTTTTGCGGTAGTGCCAACCTGCACTGCCTTCCAAAAGTAATTTTACAAGTAACGAAAAAAATGTATAGGTTGGCACTACCGCAAAACAAATGCTACTGTAGCAGACGACACAACATGGCAGTCCTGTTGCTGTGTTGCTTGTCTGTGCACTAAAATGTTTTCTTTATTATATCTGTGTTGGCGATTTAAAGTGCTGCTGCTGTACTTTGGCATTTTGTCCAGTGGAGACGGCGAAACGGAGAGTGCTTGATAGTGCACAGAACTTTCTTAACTCGAGTTTATTAACCGAGTTCTGTCCATGGAACCTCCAACAATGCCCAAGTGCAGCAAGGTTAGCTGGGGATTGGAATAAGTCAAAGGAGAGAGTAAGAACTTGTGTCATCATGGATGTCGCTTTGTTTAGGCCTCTTATTAAAGACATTATCTTTAACTACATGGACACTGAAAGAAACCTTTTAGGATCTGACTCACTGGACCAATGTCTTTTTAAACGATGACAAAAAAGTAAATAGTTGGGCAACGCTTTGCTGACGCAAACCAAATTCACATCATATAACCTTACATTAATATTTTCATAACTGAAAGTGATAGCTTCCTGTATTATTTTCAACTTGAGTAATTGAAAGACTGTAGTTTTTGATGTGTTTACCGGAGTGATCTTGACTGGGATATATTTCCCAGTATCAAATAGAGTGGGGTTGCAATTATTGCCATATTTTGGTGAGACATTTGTTTCTCGCCAAAAAATGGCGAGACTTTAGTTTCTCGCCAAAAAAATGGCGAGACTTTTGTTTCTCGCCAAAAATTGGCGAGACTTTTTTTCTTTCCCCTAGGTTGGAATGAATTCTGACCTTTGACTTTTCAGTGAAGGGAAAAAAATACAATGAAACAGCACGGCAAAGCTTGGAAAACCAGCCTGTCGTCGTCTTCATTTTTTAAGGGAAATAGGGGAGGGGGGGTGGGCGGAACAGTGTCGATTGAGGAACGATCGCGCATGCGCGATTCAGAGGCGGCCTGGGAGAGGCAAAGTAGCACTTTTTGCCTACCTTTAAGGCGGCTATCTTGGTGCTTCCCGTCTGAGATCGCGAGGCTTCACGTCCCTGTCACACACACTGCGGCACGCACACACGCTCACTCACACACGTACTACGCACTCCTCCTGGCGCCGGCACCGGTTTCGGCTCGCGGCATTGGGTGCGGCCCTGCCATTGGCCCCTAAAGCGTGGCGCGCACATTCAAGCGCGCGCTCACACACACGCACACTCACACACATCGTGGCAGGTGTCGGTCCGTCAGTCACGGCGTGCCGCGCGCCTCCCCAACGCATCGTTGCACGTCGTTGCGTCACCGCGGCCGTCACGCCTCGTCACGCCGCCAGGCCGCCACCAACGACGCCCGGCCCGGCCTGGCCCGGCGCGTCGCGTCCAGTCGGCCCACGGGGTGCGCTTTGGCTGCTCTGGCTGCCAAGCTGACGGCTTAATTAAGACGTTTCGCGCCTAGGCCCTGGGCGCCCTGGGCCACGGCGGGCCAGGCCAGAGTGCACTCCGAATGGTTTCAAAACCCCAAAAGCACACGCGAGCCCAGACACGCAGAAACGCTTACCAACATTAAGCTTGCCACTTAAACAAAAGCCACACCGTTTGGTGGAAAAGTCGAGCCAGGTCGGGCCAAGTGCACGTCCAGGACACACCACTGCGGACAAGAAGAGACGCAGAAGAAATCCTGTTTGTAAGAGCATAAGGTGCGACCAATGGGGAACGACAGATGACCGGAGCAGGGAAAAAGGGGGGGGGGGATCTTGATCTTGAGACAGGCGGCGACCTCGGAAGGAAGACCAGACCGGCCCCTCACCGCCACGCCCCGCCCCGCCCCGCCACGCTCCGCGTCGTCTCGTCCCTTTGCTCCCCTCCTTTTGGCGATTCCCGAACCGTAAGCCCTGCTCTGGTATATATGCAGGCTGCCCGAGCCGGTCGTCACAGTTGTCCTGTCTGCAGCACAGAACTCCAGAACCATGTACAAGCTGGTGAGTCCGAGCGCTTTCGTCAACGTCTGGTTAATCCAGTGAGATTAAATATTTCACACATTTCCTCTTATGTTGACTTTAATGAGTGTCGTTTGTGGTTTTCTACAGGCCATCCTCCCCCTCTTCTTCGCCGCCGTCTCGGCTGGCTACCTGGGTGCCCCCGTGGCCTCAGTGGCGTACTCCGCCCCCGTGGCTGCCCCCGTGGCCTACGCCGCCGCCTCTCCCGTGGCCTACGCCGCCGCCCCCGTCGCCCCCGTTGCCTACGCCGCTGCTGCACCCGTTGTTAAGACCATCGCTGCCCCCGCAGTTGCTACCTACGCCGCTGCCCCCGCACTCTCCGTCCACCCCGCCCCCATCGTGAAGGCTGTGGCTCCCGCCCCCATCGCCTACGCTGCCGCTGCCCCCGTTGTTAAGACCATCGCTACCCCCGCTGTCGCCACCTACGCCGCTGCCCCCGCTGTGGCATACGCTGCTCCTGCTCCCATTGTTAAGAGCTTCGCCGCTCCCGCCGTCGCCACCTACGCCGCCGCCCCCGCCGTCGCCACCTACGCCGCCGCCCCCGCCGTCGCCACCTACGCCGCCGCCGCCCCCGCCGTCGCCACCTACGCCGCTGCCCCCGCTGTCGCATACGCTGCTCCTGCGCCCATTGTTAAGAGCTTCGCCGCTCCCGCCGTCGCCACCTACGCCGCTGCCCCCGCTGTGGCGTACGCTGCGCCTGCCCCCATTGTAAAGAGCTTCGCCGCTCCCGCCGTCGCCACCTACGCCGCTGCCCCCGCCATCGCCCACACCACCCTGGTCCACTAATTTATTTGCAACAATGTGATCCCCGTTAATTTATTTTCACCATCATGCACGCTGGTCGTGCACCTGCTCAAAGTTTCGACGACATGCCCCCCAAAATAAATACGCTCAATTTTAAACAGAAATTCTGAGAAAAATCGTGTTGCATGACTTGTTTTTTCATGTCCCTGCTAACAACACCAACAAAATTAGCTCTCGATTCCTAAGAAAAACAAGAGAGTAGCGAGCAATGCGACTTCTCGCAGCAGGCGCCGTTCATGGGGTGTGCCCTATGGGGTATGCTCGCCTCCCACTCAGTTTTTCGTAGTCGCATGATACTAATACATGATAGCTAATAAAGCAATCAAAATTCTCATTGCAATGAGCACCCTTCCTTGGCCTAAACCACCTGAACACTTATGGCATGGTGACAGGGCAGGGTGCACAATGGCGATACTTATGTGCCACACAATCCCATTCAGCCAGAACGATTGGCGTTTCTTATCACACATTTAAAAGTTTCTCCCAGTTCCATTGCCCCACCATGAAATATTTCAAGTGCGTTCTTTGAGATTTGCATTGGTTTCCGAGGAAGTCCCCGGGACAGCAGGCAAAGGCTTCAATTCTGATTGCGCGTGAACAGCTTAATAAGCAGAATTTGGAAAAGGAAAAGGCAAATGAGTCTCAACATTCTTTCCCGTGCAATGACAGAAAAGCCACCTTTGTTTATATGCATATCCTACAAGCTCTAATTCAAGTTCCTCTCAGGATGTTCTTATTTTTGGTACCCCATGTGATAAGGGGAAAGTTTCATATCAGTTTTTACTTGCGGCTCAGAGACGGTCAGATGGGAAGATAAGAAATACAGATGAAATACTTGGATCGGAATAATTTAATTTATTGTTTATGGCATCAAAACTAGACAGTAGGAACTTTTCTTTGGAACACTCATGACACCTTCTTAGTGCACGTAGGTGGCGTGGGCCAGAGGGGCAGCGGCGTAGGTGCTGTAGGCGGGAGCGGCGTAGCCGTAGCTCTTGACCACGGGGGCGGCAGCGGCGTAGGTGCTGTAGGCGACGGGGGCAGCGGCGTAGCTCTTAACCACGGTGGGGGCGGCCACGATGGGAGCGGCAGCGGCGTAGGTGGCGACGGGGGCGGCGTGCACAGCCACGGCGGAGCGGGAGATCTTGTAGGTGTTCTGGTAGGAGGTGGCGACGGCGGGCGCGTGGTGAACCACGGGGGCGGAGTAGGCAACAGCGGGGGCGACGGCCTTAACCACGGGGGTGGAGTAGGCGACGGCGGGGGCGGAGTAGGCGACCGCGGGGGCGGAGTGCACCACGGGAGCGGAGTAGGCGACGGCGGGGGCGGAGTGCACCACGGGGGCGGAGTAGGCGACGGCGGGGGCGACGGCCTTAACCACGGGGCTGGAGTAGGCGACCGCGGGGGCGGAGTAGGCAACAGCGGGGGCGGAGTGCACCACGGGGGCGGAGTAGGCGGAGTGCACCACCGGGGAGGAGTAGGCAGAGTACGCCACGGGGGCCACGGGGGCGCCCAGGTAGCCAGCCGAGACGGCGGCGAAGAAGAGGGGGAGGGCGATCTGAAACACACACAGGAGTCAAACTCTCGTCCGCATACACCCCATCCCATGCGTCTCCGAGGCTCCTCAGAGGCTCCTCTGGGTCGGCAGCTCAGAGGATCTACTCACCAGGGCGTTCATGTTGGATGCTTGGTGTCAGCTGAGTGATACTCCAGCCAAAACCGAACGTCGCTTTATACGAGTCTCGCTTTGGAGAAAAACGGGGGGCCTAGCCCGCACCACGCCCCGCCCGCCCCTCCACCCGCCGCTGCTTTTGCCGCCCCCCACCCTTCCGGCTCGTCGTTCCATGCAGCGCGCCCTTGCTTCTGGCTGTCGACAAATCAGCACCTTTCTGTATTCCAATTTGCACACGAAATAGTTTTTTGTCCTTTATGGGGCGAGTGCTGGACGCCTGTGATTAGGTGGCGAAGATGTCGTTTGTGTCCCTCGTATTCCATTCCGTATGTGACCGCACGTCTCACACCTTTTGCCAGAGAGCGCGTCCTCAAAGTCCAAGGCCACGGCCAAGGCCACGGCCATCACGCTGCCCGCCCTGGACGCGACAAGCCGGGTAAAGCGAATTGCGCGTGGTTGAAAATTTACATGGTAGTCCACGAACGGACCCCAGTGGGTTCCGTAGCTGTAGGCAGTCCCGCGCTGACCTAGCTCCCGTCGGCCCGTCGGCCGTTGCCGGGATTCGAATCCGCGGCGATGGCGCGTGAGACTCTGCTCCCAGTAGCCGTAGGACCAGATCACCTTGATGGTTCGCCTCACTTTCGGGCCTCCATTTTTGCACGAGTGAAAACCCATCCAAGGTGTCGTTTCCTTACACTACGCTGAAAGAGCAGGGAACATTTCAAAATCACTGGTCAACCCAGGGTAGTGTCATGTTCCATCAAAACGACAAAATGAGCAGCCTAGAGATGATTCGAACCCCAGACGTTACCCACCGCGCAGGAATGAACGAGGACCGCGGAGTGACGAGGCAGCAGTTGTGCTCAAGAAAATGTGAGTGGGAAATGGAAAGCAGAGTTCTGAGAAGTAGTTGACTCCATAGCTGGGTGCCCGCGGTGGCATAACGTCGTCGGTGCCGGTAGTCGATGCCAATTCAGTGACTGTGACAAGGTCCCCATTCCATGTGCTGTAAGCCACACGCTAAATCCTTTTGCACTTTTTGTGCGTGAGTTGTGCACTATTTCGCCCATGCGTAAGCTTCTGCATAATGTTATGCATTTCAACGCATGTGAAAAATAATACGCTAGGATTTAGTGTGTCAGCGACAGCGAACGCGAGCGTGAATGGCGACTTCGAGCACCGAGAATCGGTGTCCGAGTCTTCCTCTGACCCCTTTCACTTGCTCAGTCAGCAAACGGTACCTGGCGTCAACACCAATCTTCACCAGATTAGCCAGGGGCAACTGCGGTCGAAAACGTCGGGGTGTCGGTTTCCGAACTTGACGAAGTAGGGTTTGGCGCCCACGTGTCTCCCCAATTTTCTGGGCTCCGAGTGAATGGACATATTTTTTGTGTCGCCGGGTGCTTTGCTCGCGATGTTCATTGATTACCTCTGCAAAAGGTATCACAAAGTGTCGGTGTTATGCACTGTGCCACCAGTAAGGTCCGCAAGACTCCATTGTTTTGTCGTTTAAACGTGTTATTTACTTCTATAGTGTCGACGGAAATTCAGAAAATTGGTATGTAATGTCTGAGACGTTCCTCGTCGTAGGGGTATATTCACGCCTGTTCGGATTATTTCACCATATTTGACAGTAACACAGCAACAAAATACTTGGATCGGAATAATTTAATTTATTGTTTATGGCATCAAAACTAGACAGTAGGAACTTTTCTTTGGAACACTCATGACACCTTCTTAGTGCACGTAGGTGGCGTGGGCCAGAGGGGCAGCGGCGTAGGTGCTGTAGGCGGGAGCGGCGTAGCCGTAGCTCTTGACCACGGGGGCGGCAGCGGCGTAGGTGCTGTAGGCGGGGGCGGCGTAGCCGTAGCTCTTGACCACGGGGGCGGCAGCGGCGTAGGTGCTGTAGGCGACGGGGGCAGCGGCGTAGCTCTTAACCACGGTGGGGGCGGCCACGATGGGAGCGGCAGCGGCGTAGGTGGCGACGGGGGCGGCGTGCACAGCCACGGCGGAGCGGGAGATCTTGTAGGTGTTCTGGTAGGAGGTGGCGACGGCGGGCGCGTGGTGGACCACGGGGGCGGAGTAGGCAACAGCGGGGGCGACGGCCTTAACCACGGGGGTGGAGTAGGCGACGGCGGGGGCGGAGTAGGCGACCGCGGGGGCGGAGTGCACCACGGGAGCGGAGTAGGCGACGGCGGGGGCGGAGTGCACCACGGGGGTGGAGTAGGCGACGGCGGGGGCGACGGCCTTAACCACGGGGCTGGAGTAGGCGACCGCGGGGGCGGAGTAGGCAACAGCGGGGGCGGAGTGCACCACGGGGGCGGAGTAGGCGGAGTGCACCACCGGGGAGGAGTAGGCAGAGTACGCCACGGGGGCCACGGGGGCGCCCAGGTAGCCAGCCGAGACGGCGGCGAAGAAGAGGGGGAGGGCGATCTGAAACACACACAGGAGTCAAACTCTCGTCCGCATACACCCCATCCCATGCGTCTCCGAGGCTCCTCAGAGGCTCCTCTGGGTCGGCAGCTCAGTGGATCTACTCACCAGGGCGTTCATGTTGGATGCTTGGTGTCAGCTGAGTGATACTCCAGCCAAAACCGAACGTCGCTTTATACGAGTCTCGCTTTGGAGAAAAACGGGGGGCCTAGCCCGCACCACGCCCCGCCCGCCCCTCCACCCGCCGCCGCACCACGCCCTGCCTTGCCCCGCGTGCCCCCCTTGCCCCCACCCCTCAGCGTGGATTCGCCGAGCGTCCGGTCTCGTCCGGGTGAAGGGCGTCGTTCCTTGGCGGCGGCCCGGCGGCCCGGCGGCTCGTGGCCGAGGAAGCCAGGGAAGCCAGGGAAGCCAGGGTCATCACCGCGGCCAGAATAAGACTGTCGGTATGCGGGCTGCACTCCGGCGTTCCGAAAGGAATCTTTCTCAGGACGACCACCCGAGCAGTTTCGTGCAGTCCTGGAGCAATGCAGATTCGAGCTCTTTTGTTGTTGTTGTTGTTGTTGTTGTTGTTGAAAGAAACTTATCAGGGCCTTACGGCGTGATCCATGTGCTTTAAGTGTAGCATACTTGGTTGATGGAACATGATATGCAAGTCAATCATATGTTTGGAACATGGCATAAACATCAGAACACTGTTCATTTTTTTGGGTATCGCCTCGCATTTTATTTCATGGATTTGTCGATTGGTATAAATACACTGGAAGGTGATAAGGGTGATTTTTGTCAATTTTTGTTCGACCAAGGATTTGGCTTCTAGTAGTGGCCGGCGAGGGAGATGCCTCCGTGGCCGAGACCGTAGCCGCCGTAGCCGAGGGAGACGGGGGCAGCCACGGACTTGACGATGACGGGGGCGGGGGCGGCAACCACGCCGATGGTCCTGGAGATGAGGTTGGAGTTGGCGTACGAGGTGGCGACGGGGGCGTGGGCCACGGCGATGGGGGCGTGGGCCACGGCGATGGGTGCGTGGGCAACGGACACGGGGGCGGCGATGGCGACGCCGTGACCCAGGCCGCTCAGGCCATCGTAACCGCCCAGGTAACCGGGGGCGGCGCTGACGGCGGCCACCAGCATGGTGAAGGCGACCTGCAAGTGGAAAAGGATTTGTAGGAAAGCGCGCTGAGGCAGCCTTTGCCACGACCTCCCGGCGGCCCGGCTGCTCCTCGATCCCTGTCTGCTGCTGTTCGCGTGGTGACACCGTGACACCACCAAGGCACGCGCCTCACGCAATTTGCCCGGAACGCGAGGCCGCGAGCGTCCACCTCACTGTCTGCGAGTCGGTCACTCCATCTTTGAGGACACGCGCCAGCCCACCAGGAATAAATGGCAGCTAGTTGAGCGTTCGTCTGCCTCCCAGCGTCCTCATGGCCTCATGGCCCGGCAACGAGAGCACGACTGCAAGCAGCCAGGGCGCCAGCAAGGACGCTGCACTCCATGGCGCTGCCTTCGGCCGCCTCCCCGAGCAGGGCGTGCTCCCACACCACACCGATGACGATGACCAAACAGCGAATTCGCACAGGGAGCACCGCTTCCTACAGACACCCTCCGCGAGACCGGGTTCGCCCCGCCCTTCGCCCTTTTGGCCCACGAGGTTTCACCTCCTTCATGGCGTACTCACGATCTTGTACATGTTGACGGCGGTGGTGTTCTGTTCGCTGGTGAGCAGAGCTTGTCGCCGAGTGCGAGCGCTGCGCTTTTATACGCGTGCCGTACCGCCGCACCGGGCAGCTCCCTCCCCCCCCCTCCCCGCTGCACTGCGCTGCACTTGGCTGCACTGCGCTGCACCTACTCACCCCTGGCCTGCCTGCCCCTGGCCTGGCCTGCCCCTGCCGCGCGCCGCCTAGGGGCCCAAGGGGCCCTAGCCCCGCCCATCGCCAGCTTTACGCAGCCTCTTCGGCACGCCGGCACGCCCCTGCCCGCAGCAACAGGCACGGCCAGCATTCAATTTGATTTGTTTAGTCGCGATTTGGGTCAAGATTAGCCGTCACTGGGAAGAAAGAAGAAGCCGTCACTTCAAATTCAAAATGTCATTCGAAATTTCAGGCGATTTGTTGGGAACTGCATTCATTTGAGGCAGGCGCACTAATGGGGGCGAGGGAATGACCACTTGGATTTCGGCTGAAACCGTGACATCTTCTGTTGTTTTTGCTTTCTGGCAGCTCTGCTGCTCTCCCCGCGTACGCTGGCGCGCCTAAGCCTGTGCGGACACGGTAAAGGTGCCTAATGCCAACTGGGGCAACTTTGAAAATTCGCTCAAACGCCTTTGGAATAAATCTGAGGCGGCTTCTTGGATTCCGAAGCGGCACTTTTACCATGAAAGGTTCCAGTGCCACGAGAAGGCCCCAGGACTCTCGGCGCCTCGGTGACAACGACCAGCCTCACGGAGGCAGCCCGTCCTTGTCAGGCGCCCTAGGCCCTGCAGTTCTCGCCCTCGCGCTGGTCGCGCTGGTGCGCTGCGTTGGCACCATTCCCAACGGCAGCCTTCGGCAGCCTTGCTCCCCGTTGTTCGAGCGGGTCAATGGACAGGACAAACTGCTTAAACATGCAGTGCGCTGAAAAACTGCTTGAGCCGAGTGAGTGGGGCGTGGCTGCGTGGCGCGGCGCGCGCATGTGGTGGAGCGCGCCAATTGTGCGAGGGTCCGCGGTACGGCGGTGCGATGGGGACGCTTGAGCGCGCCAGAGCCACGCGGGGCAAGTGACTTGGCCACTAGAGCCACAGTTGGCTTGAGCGTTGTCTGCAAGTCGCCGGTGACGACTCCTAATCTCAGCCAACTCGATCAGAGTCACCCGTTCCCCTGAAGTCCGTTATCAAAAGAATCGGAGGCGTTTTCTGGCAGAGGCTGGCCGCTGTTTCCGTCCACCACCGCCTCGCAACGTAACGCCGGCAACGCCATGGCAACGCCCCACCCCCACCTCAACAAGGCTGCTTAAACGAGGCGCGGCGGTACTCCTGCTAGTCATACCACGCGTTCGGCGCCGGCCTTCGCCAACCAGTTCTCGTAACTATTAACGGAGCCTCGGACGAACAACAAGAAAAAAATAATATAATTAAACTCTTTTGTTATTTTTCATGGTATCAACTGTCCGATTAGTAGACATCACTCTGGCCTATTCAGTGAGCCACGCGCAAAATAATGGTCATTTGGACAGTTATAAATTTCATTCATTTCACTGAAAGGCGTTTCTGCGGGGAATTTTTAACAGAATGAATAGGTCATGAATGCTTTTATCTCCAGCTCGACAGGATTTCCATCCAGCCTATCGAAGCTCTTACCCTAATGGCAGATAATTTAGCCGTGAACTCACATCACATTTGCATCTAACCGTGGTCAACGACAAACTGACAGTGCTAATAGGAAGTAAGGGGAACCCGACGAGAGCAATTTTAAGACCCTAGCACGCAAGAAGACCTTTAGGAAAGTAAACTTTAAAGGGTAGTCCTTTATAAATTCTCAACTCAATAACCAGTAAATGTGCCATCGAAACTGAACGCCAAACATCCCCCTCCCCCACGTCGCGGGACACACAAGAGGCGGACGGACGGTCGAACGAACGAACAGACGGAGCGAAAGGCCATTCACAGCCTGCACTGTATGCCCCTCCACCCTCCACCGCTTCCCTCTACTACCGTCCAGCCCAGCCGGCCCCTGCCCCACCTGCCCCTGCCCCGCCCTGCCCGCCTCGCCCTGCCCCGCCACGCCCGATCAGAGCAAACTCGCTAGCCTAGGAGAGGAGGGGCAAGGAGGGGCCGTACTGCCACTCTGAGAGGATGTGGAATCCTCGTGCCGTGCACATGGCGTGCTCGCGATCCGAGTCGAGCACCACGCGGCGCGCACAGCCGAGGCGAGTCGAGAGGTCGCGCGAGAGGCGAGACGCGAGACGCGTGGAGCAAGCAGAGCAAGGGGCGGAAGTGCGGACCAAGTCCAGGGCCGCGGCGGCCGGCACACGACCGCGCCGCGCCGCGCCGCGCCACGCACACATGGCGCGACCCCAGCCTTGCACCAGTTGTAGCGCCATAATGGTCAGGGGGTGGCCGGGAACGGCATTGTCAAGGAAAAGGAAACGAGTGTGCCAGCATTTGTGAGCCCGGTGCTCGGCAGTCGGTGCCCGTCGAGTTGCCTGCTATCGCCATTATGCGGCGAGAAAGGAGTCACTCCAGCACAAAGCCGTCGCACGGCCACGCACGGCTTGCGGACCGTCATGCCGGCTCGGCGTTAGCCCGACGGGCGGGACATGGCGCCGGCGCCTGTGAAGTCCGGATAGGCAACACTGTACAAGCGCTTTGTGTAGCGGGCCTGCCTACCCTCTCCATGACAGGCGGCATGTATGACTTCCCCGGCGAGGGGGAGCTGCTAGTGCACTCAGCAGTGGGCACATCAGTGTTTCGGCAAAAGATGCATGCTTCCAAGATAATGTTTCAATTTTTTTCTAGGCAGATGTTTAGTTGGTATGATTGGGCGGATATGTTGCCATGAGAACGGTAACAGTTTCTGATAGTTCAATAAGGTTGAATGAATACACTTTGAAACCTCAAGCGTAACTACTCAGCAGACATTCTTGTACATCATTCCTGAATACACATAGAAAAGAAAGCTGAGTGCGAAGAATGTTTTCTTCGTTTTCAGTGTAACGAATATGGTTAGAAGTAAGTAGTTCGCTCAGTCAAAATGTTGATAACCGAGACACCTGCTCGACTTTTATTGTGTTCAGTGCATTGGGTATTAACAAGTGTAATTCAAACAAATTTTTGGCCCGTTCTGTTCCTAATAATGCCCCTAGTCACTGCGGAACTTGTCAAAAAGCGATCCGAACATAATGAAGGGGAGATATCAACGTTGGAAGAATTATCTCTTCACCAAGAAGATATTGAAAAAATCGAAAATCTTCAAAATTGGTGTCGTGAGTTGCGTATCCTCCTCCTGCAGTCCAATCTTATTTCAAAATTAGGTATGCATTTTCTGTTATTTATTTAATGTGCACAAAATTTGAAAATGTTTTCAAAGTTGAGTTTGTGAAAGTTTTGTTGTTGATGTCACAGAAAATTTGAATAAGATGAAAAGATTGGAGTATTTAAACCTTGCTCTTAATAATATAGAGCGCATAGAAAATCTAGAGAGATGTGAATCATTAGAAAAACTAGATTTGACCCTGAACTTCATTGGAGAACTAACAAGTGTTGCTTCACTGATAAGCAATGTACATCTCCATACCTTGTGAGTCGGAAATAATTCCATGGTTTTTTTTTTAAATTTGAAAAAGAAGAAAAAAAAAATCTCAACAAAGGTAATTGCTATGGTCACATTTTGGTTTTGTTTTAGACATTTAACAGGGAACCCATGTGCCGAGTTTAGTGGGTACAGAGATTATGTGGTAGCAACTTTGCCACAGTTACAAGTTCTTGACTCTGAGCCAATTTTGAGATCTGATCGTATAAAAGCAATCCAAAACTACCACAAGACCTCTGAATTGATAATACGACAACAAGATCAGTATGCTGGTACTGGTTTTATGTAACATAGTTCCATAGTGTTATTTGATTTAAGGAGATCCATTCACTTTAGCACATATCTCTTCATCACTTGCGAAAATTTACAGCAAAACGAGCAGCTCAAAAGCAAGAACATCATGAAAAAAAATTGAACAGCTGTGAAATACGACATTATGACGATCCTGAAGAAATGAAGAAGTAAGAAAAAGGACTTAATCTACACTTGAATAAAATTTCAAGGAAATATAAATATCAAATTTGTACCCTTTCCTATCACAGATATTGGGATGAAGTCTGTGACAATTCTCCTGAGACTCGAATTGAAATGGCAAGTTTAAGTAGAAAACAGAAAGCGTATGACAGACACCAGAAAGGTGAAAATGAATATGGAGAGCAAAAGCGGCCAGTTAAACTTTTTAAAGATGATGGGCAGCCTTTGAGCGTTAATGAGCCTCGGGTTCCATTTACACTGTCGGAGAATGACACTAATAATTGTTTAGTTCTTACCATTGAAGTGTACAGGTAAATTTAGGAAGTTTTTGTAAATTCACACTAAACCTAAGTCAATTGTTGATACATAAAGATTGATTACATTTTCTAGACACCTGGATATATCACACATCGATGCTAATGTTGAGCCTAGTTACGTAAGAGTTACCATAAAAGGGAAAATATTTCAAATAGTATTGCCAGAAGCTGTGCATCCAGATAAGTCAACAGCTCAACGCTCACAGACCACAGGACACCTCGTAATAAGCATGCCCATGGTTTGTGTAATTTTTAAAAGGAATCTAATGTGAATGTCAGAAATGAATAATAACAAAAATAATTATGTATGCAGGTTAAAGAAGTTAAATGCACTGATAAAAGTCTTTCTAAAACTGAAAAGACTTCAAAAACATCCCTTCTACCTTCAGGAACAAACTCAAAGTAAGGCAGTAAATCTAAATTAGTAATGTAAATGTAATTTGAAAAGTAAGTTTATAAGGCGTGTCTCTTTTTTTCTTCAAGGAGAGAGTACCTAGAAATCGGAAGAGGAGAAACTTCAATGGATTTTAGTCGCATTGGAGAAATGTTACCGAAACAAATGACTGGCAGTTGCCTCCTTGATGGTGTGAACAAAGTGAGGCAAATTCATGAAAAGCCAGTATCGGACCTCTTTCAAGAAAATACAGAAGTACCACCTCTAGAGTAAGACAGGATAAAGAAATACAAGAAAACAACAACAAAAGGTTGTTAAAGGCTGATCTTTATTTTAAAATGGACCATAGTGACAGGATAATAAGTATGGTAAGTATTCTGACCAAAGCAGCAATGGTCTTTGAATACTGACCTGACATCACTCTATCAGTTAACAATATTCCAAAGTAGTTGCAGAATAGTAGTGAAAGCATGAAACTTAAACAATTTTTTCAGTTCATTGGAGACAAAAAAACAACCAGCATCAGGTAACATGAGACATTAATTCACGAATTCCACTCTCTGAAAGGACTACACGGGAGTCAAGAGACACTGAACATGACTCTTACCTCAAAGATTTGACATGGATAAAAAGAGCAAAAGTGAATTAGAGCGCCACTCTATTAAACTTTCAACAGGCCAAGATTTTACAAATTTCAGTCTTCAAATATCATTTGTGCAATATGTGTATATTTCAAGGGTTGTAGAATAAGGTAGGGTTGGTTGTGCACCTTTTAGATGAAAGGGAGCAAAACCACACCTTAAACAATGAGAACAGTAGTTGTTATAATTGGTCAAGGCCCAATGCCATTTATAAAGATGTCTCTATCAAGAACCGGCATGTGTATATATATATATGAATAAAATACCACATCTCAAGAACAATTTATTCAAAAAAATGTTGGTTTGTGACATACCTTTTACCCCAAATCAGCATGACTTCTCAACATGATTGACTTCAGTGCTGAAAAAAATGCTACAAATGGTTATAAAACCAGGAGATACATATGTAATGCATGAGAGAAAATGTTTCATGTACAAAATCTTAGGAGCAGCCTTTTGTTTCCTGAGCAGAAATGCTTCTGTGAGCCCTGGCCCATAAAAAATCCTTCCATTAGTATAAACATGAAACTGAGTAATAAAGTAGAAAAGTCATTTTCATTATCTAAAACACCGTGATCAGTTACTTCGATTCATCTATTCATTTATTTTGAAATGTAAAAGTCTTTAAGTTCACTTAACTTTTGAACTTGGCACAATTGTAACACATCGGATACTTCTGTAAAGGACTAATCAAAGGGCAAATGTACTATGTGATTTGAAGGCTTTTTTAAAAGTAAAAACTTCAGGATGATCCTCTCAAGCTTGCCTAGCTTAAAAAACCTGATAATCTTTCCAAAATTTTATAAACCCAAGGGGTATAAAAAAGACAAAAAATAATGGAAACAAACCCCCTCCCCCCTTATGAGAACATGCTAAAGACTGTTGATAAGAAAAAAAAAGCACACCAAAATATCGATGCTTCACATATTCTAAAACATTCTTTGGAGTTAAGGCACAAATATCTTTAGTCAAAGACTGTTTACCCATAGACAGCTTGACTTGCATGAATACTCGACAGTACACTGCTTGCAATGAGAGTTAATTACAGCCATGATACTCCGCAATCAAATTTCAATAAAATATCATGCTGTTTCTCTTCGAAAACCATCAAAAGTTTTTCTTTTATTACAGGACAGACTCTCACGCCACTTTCAAGTATCACAATTCATTATTACATTGTGTTTGAAATCTAAACGCAAATAAAATGGAAAAAATTAAAAGAAACTCCAAAATTATTATTAAAAAAACACCATTTATACTAAAACAAAATCTGATTTAAAATAAACACAACATTGCAGGCAGGCGGGTTGCAGCACAAGAAGCTGTGATAAAACACCAACCAACAAGCAAATGGATTAACACAGCTCTAACAAAATGACAAAAATGCAGCTCAACAGGTCAGAATTTCCATTTAAATGAATAGCTACTAAAGCACTAATGATTCAATGTAAAGGTAACTTCACAACAATGAATGTTCTGAAATACCCAAGACAAAATTAAAAGAAAAATAAATTTGATCGCAAGTGGAAGCTTTCTATCACAGATCCAAATGGTTCATACTTCACTTCCACTAAAAACTACACAAATAATTAAATCAGTATTAATTGTGCATGTCCTGAACATATGAATCAACATAATATATATAAAGTATAAAGAAGCTGTACAGTAGAAACAAAAGATGCCACAATGGACCAGTTAGTAATCTAACAATAAATCAAATGCGAGGCCTGCAGAGCAAAATGCTACACTGCAGTGGCATTTACAATCTCCAGAAAAGGAGGGGCAAGGTTAGTTGCTCCCACTCGAGATTCTTGCCTCAAATTTGATTGAATATGCTTAGCACCCAGAGGTTGTGAAAATCTAAGCATCACATTGGATTTAAGATTTTGATGTTCAGGAAGATAGAATCCCAAAAGAAAAATAGAGCTAATCTTTGTTCACTTCTATGATGCAAGATGGACATTACTGTGACCACTCTTGATTTTTCACTACATGCACAAGCAATGCCGACACCAATCTTTCAGGTACCAGCTTTTACAAAACGTCAACTAGGGAACGGTAGCATGAGTCCATTCTCGATGTTGGGTCTTCCGACTAGAACCTAAGACGATTAGTAACATCCCGCATCTGCCATTTGCTTTTATTGGTTTATTAATTCAAAGGCAGCGCTGGTCGATACCTATTATAAAAGGGAATGCATTAACCATCACCAGAGAATGTGCTAACTGCTGAATACCTCTGGAACCCTAACTATAGCCATAAGTAGTCTAGAAATTAATAGATTATCTTCACAAAGGGCTTGGTGTTCATTAAAAGTTTCAAAAAGAAAAGCTGATATTGAATGTTGGACAACAAATTGTACAGGGTACATGGTAGATACAGTCAACAATCTCCCTGGATTCAGGACAAAAGGAAAGGACAAAGTCAATTCCTGGGATGTTGCTAAGCATTGACCTTATTGCCACACTTCATAAGTTTCCCCACCACATGACAGACTAAGACATTTAATTCTCCAGAACCATTTCACCATACCACTTCACAGCAAGGAACAGTTGGATTTATATGAGCTTTAACTTGTAGTTTAAGCAACCTCTAAACTGTTCTTAGAGAATCCATATGTCATGGTAACAGCCCCATTAGGCTACTTTAACACAATTTACCAACAATGGTACAAAGAAATTCAGTCACAACAAAGAGAAATAAATGTTGAATTTACTCCCATTCAATTGGTGGGTGCCTGAAATGGTGGCCTGTGGTATGAGTCATGCAACTTAGCAACAACTCCTTCGACTAGTGTCTCCTCTACGTGGATCAACCATGACTCTGTCAGGGGCATCGCCAGGTTCTTTGCCAGCATACTTATCCAGTATGGCTGTGGCTAGATCATTGAAAGCCTTGTCAATGTTGGTATTGGCCTTGGCTGATGTTTCCAAAAAAGGAACACCATACTCACGAGCGATCTGAAATTGAAGTGTCCAAATTACTCAATGTCATACTTAATATCAGATATAATCATCAATGGCTAAGACGATTTTAGTCATAAATACAGTAATTACATCAAGGAAATATGAACAATCTACAAGTACTTACAGCTTCACCCCTGTCCTTATTCACTGCTCTTTTGCCATCAATATCACACTTGTTACCCAAAATCATTTTTTCAACATCTTCATTTGCATGCTGCAAGGAAAGGAACATGCCAACCATCATTACAAGGGGGTACACATGCACATAATGCAGAGGATTTGGAACAAGATGACAATGTTTAGGGAATGCTCCAAACAAAAAACACAAGAAAATGCAGATTTAACAAAATTGCTTACCTCATCAATGTTTCTCAGCCATTTCACAATATTTTCAAAACTTCTTTCATCTGTAACATCATAGACTAGCATGATACCCATTGCTCCACGGTAATAAGATGTTGTAATGGTATGAAACCGCTCCTGTCCAGCTGTATCCCTGAAAATAACAAACCACGAAAGATGGTTAAACCTCGAAAGGAAACTAAAAGATGTAATTCTACATTTGATCTAAGACGAACCAGATTTGCAGCTTGATCTTTTTTCCTCGCAATTCAACAGTCTTAATTTTGAAATCAATGCCTGCAAATAGAAGGAACACGGTTATGACCACTTGACGAATTCAAAGCAAACACTTAATAATGTCAAAATCTTACACCAAGCGTAACAAACAAATTCGTCTTTGGTTTTTCAAGAAAATGACTCATAATTAGTGTTGACGTACACTCAATGAGAAAAAAAAGCTACCTTGGTATAACAAGTGGAGTGTCATCATAATGACTAATATTTGTAGTATCACAATACTGCAAAAGTTAACCACAATCTTGTCAATTTATGTAGTCGTCTTTGAGCACAATGAAATCATTGGACAAAGATCATGATTAATATTAAGAGATTGCATGGTTTCTGAGAGGGCTGACAATTATATAAGGATTGCGTGTTTTCCACTATGTTACTTTATTTTTTAAAAAAATATAGTGTTTTGCAGCTTTCTTCAGGGACATTCAACCTCCTCCTAGTTTTATTTTAAATATTTTGATACTCCAGCCAGGAGGACAATTCAGGGAAATTTGAAAAAGAAAAGAAAATTACGACAAGATTCAAAATTATATGAGAACTGTGTCAAATCGAAGTGGAACTATTTCCAAAGCAACATCACGTTGGAATGCTTTGATTAGTCAAATGAACCCACCCTTGACTCGGGAGGCTAACATTATTGTAATAGAATAGTCTTCTACAATAGAATGAGTACGTGCTTACCTATAGTTGAAATGAAGGTTGATGTAAAGGCGTCATCTGAAAACCTGAATAAAATACTTGTTTTCCCAACGCCTGAATCGCCAATTAAAAGCAATTTGAACAACAAGTCATACGTTTTCTTCGCCATCTTCGAGCTAGTTGGATGTGGATGATGACGTCACTTCTGTTGGAAGAACATCGTGGAAGAGCTTCTCGGAGAGGCCACCAGAGTGCTCTACTGTATACATCCCTCCCCCACCCTCCCCCCTCCCCTCCCGTTTCGAAACTTCAAACAAAACCTAGACCCTCCTGGAACCTCCCACCTATCCAACTCGGGAAAATTATTCCATCAAATTTGAGAAGTGTCGCATAAGGATGGGAAAATGTTATCATGAAATCAGTACACTGCGTCTGTTCTGTGGCTCTCCTTTATTTGAAAAGGGGCTTGGCAAGAAATCATGGGAAAATACAACATTGGACACTTGACATTTTCTGATATTTTGTGGTGTTAAACCCTTTTGTATTTATAAAAGGTACATAAAATAACATAAAACATAAGATCACACATATTAAAATACTGGTGAGAAGTCATGGATGTAATTTTCATAATACTGGCAAAATACATGATACACAGTGCAAGAGAACTGAAAGCCCGATCAAAATTGCTTCTTGGTATTATAAACAGACACTACAAATGAGAGGTGCGGGAACCTTCCAGAAGTAAAGAGCTACATGACAGATGTAGTATACTGGACTGGACAATCTAAGAAAACCCGCAATGACTGGATTCAACAACTTAAAATTGCATACAGATACACATCAGGTAGTTTTTGATCTACTTTGTACATACAGAAAAGTTACCAGTAAATTATTTCAAAGACTGCACCAATATCAAAAATAGTTTCAGGGGAGCTGATATATAGTACAGATATTTCAAATTACTAACGCACTTCCGAGGACAAGTCAAAAGTGGCTATGAAAGAGAATCAACGGTTAAAAGTGAAAGGAGTATAGCACAAACAGGACGCGAAAAACAATTTATTACTCAAAAGTCTTAGAGTGTCTCTTACTACTCCAGCCTAGATTGCCCTTCTTCTGCACAATTTCTGTATCAGCACAAAGAATTTGCTAAGTGGGAAGGCTGCAGACTGAGTAGAGGCTCCTCTGCACACTTAACTGCCCTAGTTACAGAATCCACAGCAAAACTATCATGATGCAAATAAGTGTGCAGTACAAAGATTGGAGAAAAAGATAAATGTTAATAAAACATTGGTACCCATTCACAAAATGGGTAAGATATGTTTCACAGAAGGTCTTATACATTGGTACAGTCTTCTGACTTACAACCTATGGTAAATTGAAATACTAGCATGGACTATTACAAACTGTTTGGCAGACCATGTTTGCTTGCATAAAATCATTTGACAGATTTAAAAATAATCATAATTACTAATGAATCTAACTGAGTTGAGTTTTGTTTGAAGTATTTCAGCTGAATTAAATTGCAATGGCCTTAAGTTTGCTAATGTACAGTGTACTAATTGAGATCATTTGTAACAAATCCAAAATTTTTAAAAAAGAGGAGATGGACGATATAAGATCCTAGTATGAAGAGAACTGACACCACGTTACCAAAGTTTGACCAACTGGGTTTGCAATAGATTAAAAATCATTGGGAAATTGAAAAATAACCCTTCACACACAGATACAAGAAAATTAAAAAGAGAGAGCACAAGCTTAAATCACAGATAATGATATTGCCAGCTCTAGTAGCTGACAAATTCAAAAGTTTGTTACAAAAAAAATAACTGTAAAGCATTGATGTTACAGTGTAGACAAGATGAAAAGAAACACAGAAATTACCCAAAAAGTACAACATTGAAAATTAACGTTCCTCAATACAAACACTTCAAGATTGAATAGCAGGCATAATAAAAGCAAAAAAAAAAAAAAAAAAAGGATTTTGCCTCGGTAGTTGATTTACATGATCATGGAATTTTTAAAATATCACGGACAGGCAACGCTTTGATTATCCTTATCTATAGTCAAACGAAAATTTAAAGGTAATTTATAGACAGAATTCAGTTTATAAAGCTCAGTCAATAGAACAACAACAAATTAATATCCTCAGTCAATATGGAAAAAAATTAATTAAATAATGAGACACAGCAAGAGCCTTTCAAGGACGTGCAATCAAATTAAAACTTGAAAAACTTTGGGGCAGATAATGTCTGCCTAAATGATTTGACTGAGTGTTTATGTACTGTTCGTATGTGATTTGAAAACAATTCTGAAATATTAATAAACTGTAAAAAAACCATCAATAACTAAAATAAATAAGACATGACCTGGCACAGCCTTCATATACGTCACTGAAAATACTTAATAATACAATTCAGGTAATAAACTATAATACCAAAAAGGGTATTTACAATCATAACAAAGTGTTAATAAGAATAAAATAAACATTACTAAAAAAAAGCCATTCATACCTCATCTACACCAGTTATGTACAAAGCACTACACATGACAAAAACAAAAACAGAACAAACATCTCACAGTAGATTAATAAGACACCGGAATGAAGAAAATAAAAATAAATGAAACCAGGTAAATAATTGAAGCTTTAGGTCTTTATCACTGTTAATGTAATTCCCTCTAATTCTTTAATATAATGGAGCGAACCAATTCATAACATTGCTGGCACATTGCTTGGTAAAAATCGAGATTTCTCCTCTATGCCATTAGTTGGTTCCACTGCAATTGTCAAGAATCAGTTAAAGTTGAAAGGAAATCCATCATACCCTCCAAGATGTGCATCTAGTTCACGGAAGATGTTATCCTGTAAAAAATAAGGAAAGCATATTAAATAGCTTATCAAAAGACTTTCTTTCACTTTTGTCTACCAATAGGATATCATCCTACTACATACATCATCGTCATCATCGTCTGGAGGTAAGGCTGGCCCTCCTACTTGATCGTCATCATCGTCATCATCATCATCAAGAGGTTTGCGACCATCCTCTTCCTCATCATCATCATCATCATCTTGTGCTCCACCAACTGCGTCGTCGTCGTCATCATCATCATCATCAACATTTTCTTCTTCCTCTTCATCATCATCTTCATCTTCCTCTTCATCTTTATCTTCCTCTTCATCTCCACCCTATCATGAAATCATAAAAGAAAGGACAAGAAACTATTATTATTTTATTATTATTATTTGCCCATCTGAAAAGTTTAACTATTTAAGGCCGAATTGTACTCAGTTTTCCTTACACTTTGATATGATTCTTAAGCTAACCAAAAATTCCATTGCAAGTTCTACAATGGGAGCATGAGAAGTGCACTTATGCTGTGACCATCCCTAACGCTGCCCTGACTGGTAGATGGTTATAAGATTTAAAACCCACCAGGATGGATTTTTCCTTGTGAGAAGCCCTAAACTTTGACAAATTTGCGGAGCGAGACACGGCAGATGTGAATCCAACCTAAGAGGAGCCCCATTCTGAGTCTTAGCATAAGCTTGAACATCATAGCCTAAGAATCACCACAAAAGGCCCATCATTTTGCCATAGCATACGACCATCGGAGGGAGGTAAAAATCTTGCAGTGGCGTAAGGAAATCTGAGTACAACCCCCCTTTTGAATACTCGTGACAGTAGATGGCATTACCTTAGGCTCCTTTTTAGTTTTATCATTTTTATTGTCTTCATCATTTTTCTTGGTATCAGCAGTTCGAACCTGCAAAATTCAGCATAGAACGTTGTTGCAATGTTTGACAGAGAAAACAGATAGGTGAGAATAATTCATGCACTTACATTGACTTTGGAAGGTTGTTGAGGTTTTGCTTCACCAGGAAGGTCTATTTGACCTTTCTGCCTTCTGAATCTTACAATAATGCTACGTGAATCGAGAACAAGATTGTGGTTTTCCTTATAGGCCTTAATAGCCTCATCAACAGAGTTAAATCTGATAAAAGCATACCTAAAGGAAAAAGTTTGATAAAACAATGCGTAAAATATGATTTAGTGCGAACTGCACTTCAAGAAACAGCAGAAATTCCAACCTTGTGTATCGCATTCGCTGAGCAAAACCAACATCAACTCTAGCTGCCTCTGGGAATTTTTCTTTAACTGTTTGAATATTGACATTTGTTGGAAGATTTCCAATGTATAACCTATAAAGAGCAGGGATACTGTGTTTAAAGTTTTTATAATAAGCAACAATATGTGTTGGATAAATCAAGAACTTACGTGTAAGGGTCAATAGATTCTGGTGATGCCTCTTCTTCTTGTTTAGTGCTTTTCTTCTCAACAGATAAATGGCCTGAACCAAATTTCACATTTTCCAACATTTTAATAACTTTTTCTGTGTTGGCATCAGGTGCTAGTTGAACAAAACAGTACCTAAGAAAATACAAGAAAATTTTGGCATTAAGAAGCAAACAAATATGCACTTTTAATTCTTGAGAGGCCCTCTTACCTGGGACCACTAGGGACCTGGAAATGGACATTTTGTATACTGGGATGATAGGTTTTGACAATGTCCCGTGAAAGTTCTGGATCAGGAAACCGAATAATTAAACTTTCATTTTTGAGGTTCAGGGTCGTCTCCAGTTCAACTTTTAGAGCCTTTTCAGCATCATCTCTATTCCATGGCCTGCTTGGGAAAGTTGGTAACACTGTTCGCTTCCTAGGCTTTAGAGGCTTATTATCAGGCTACAATAGTTTTTTTTTTTTAAATAAAAAACAAAAACAAAACATAAGGCATAGAAAAGAGAAGAGCACTTGTTTAGCATCAAAAGTTACAGAACAAATGGATATCAACGTACCGAAAGCAACACTCCTCCTTTAGCTTTTGAGGGAATAGTATTTGTATCAACACAATTAGAATCTTCTTGTCTTTTCTTGTTCTTAGATTTCTGGTGAGCTCCCATTTGATAGCCACCCTGGTTGCGTCCACCTAATTGATTCCCCTTTAAAATGGAAAATGATTCAATTGAGTCACACTGAACACGCTCATAGACAATGTTTTCTAGATGTAATCTTCCAATAAACAGTGCAGTCCATAGGCAACAAAAATTGAACCTACTTGATGGCCAAATAAAGGCATAGGCCTTGGTCCCCCATGACCTCCATAGCAACCTCGTGGTGGGTGAGGACCAAAAGGGGGTAGCAAGGGAGGCACAATGTGCCCTGGGTGACCCATGTGGGGGTGTCCCATGGGACCGGACGGGCCAGGGGGAGGGCCTTGGGGAGGCCACTGATTCCTCTGAAACCCATGCCCCCTCATGGGTGGTCTTCCTCGGGGATTCCAGCCTCGACCCGGCCCTCCCATGCCATTGAGTTGCCCATAACGGCCTGGGCCAGGTGGATAAGGAGAACCTTGGCGAATAGCTTGGTTGCTTGACTCCATCTTGTAGCTGTACTGCTGCATGGGCCCTTTACTATCAGCGTAATTGTAGTGATTGGGAGGTGGGCACATGCCGTCATACGAATACTGGTGATACTGCTTGAGGGATCCTGGTCCAGATACTTCTCTATGGTTTGAGTGGTTTACATTCATAATTTGCTTTGAGTTCATACTATCTGAATAATTATGCTGACTTGAAGATGCAGTTCTTGCTGATTGGCTTGAACTATCACCATAATTGTGTTGTTTTGCATGATCACCATAAGAAGCACCTCTGGAGGAAGAACTTAGCGAATCGTAGCTGTGTTGATTAATTTGAGTCGATCTAGATGGAACATTTAAATTGTCACCATAAAGATGCTTGCTTCTAGCTGCATTCAAATTTTCGCCATAATTATGTTGCTTAGCTGGCATTCCGTCAGGTGTATCATCACTCCCTCCGTTTTCAAGCTGCGACAAAACAAAACGAAACAAAATTCAAAATGGGACTTTTGAGTTTTAAGAGGATAGATTAAGAATCAAGAAATAGATTGATTGCTCAGTATGAACTAATTGATGTCCCATGGAAATGATGGGAAAGAAACGAGCTGACAAGAGAAAATGTGAGGCGTGAGGTGTGAAGGTAACCAAAGACTTGCTGGGGAAGCAAAGAAAGCGGCCGATACAGCACGCCGTGAATTACCTTGCGTTTTGGTGCGGATGCGGACGCAGAGGAAACCCTGCTTCCATTCGTATACATGGTGGCAGACGACTTAAGAATCTATTTGACCCGACTGTCAGCAAGTCAACAAGACAGCACACGCCGTGTCAATAGACACTTAGACAAGGGAACGACACAACCAAACCTTCAGCCGCTAATCTAGACAGAGCTTGTGATCGTGAAAGTCGAAAAACCATGAACATCCATTCAAATTACAACTTCCATCCGTACAAATACGACACCGACCGCTACATCGGTTTTCAATAACAAAACATACATGTACGAGAACGAGAGCAAGACGCGGAGGTGGTTGCCGAAAACAAGCGATGAATCCAAAAATGGCTACTCAGGGAAAGCCACTAACCAGTCACTTAGAGGATAAGTGAACTGTGAACCGATTGCTTGCCTATTTTAAAATAACAATAGAACATATTATTCTTTTTGATTTCCGAGAAGTTTAATCTCCTCTCTAGAACAAGCACCATTTTAATTCTACATTGAATGAAGATGTACATTGTTGGTGGTTGGCAGCCTGTGCCACCGCCTTTACACTACGGGAAAAATAGTTTCCAAACATTCACACAGCGCGTAAATTTGCCAAAAAGGCGCGAACTGTCTGGTGAATGGGGTGACGCTGTGACGCTGGAGGAGAGTGGAGCTGAGTCAGCTGACACGAACGCAATTTAGTTTCCCTCAAGCAACAGAAAGGAACGGAAATCACCACTTGAGTACCAATAGCGATTATGGCGCAGTCAACCATTGATACTTTCTTCGCGAACCGCAAGCGGCATGCAGCCGATGATCTGAAAGGCAAGAGCAGTAAGATCATCGCTTTAGAGTCTGACTCCATCACTGCAGGTTATGGTCATGCAAAGTCCAATGAAATTTCTGGTCAAACAGCTGCCCGCATTAAAGTGGAAGCCACGGTTGTCTTTCCTAATGACGACGCTGCCAAGCCAAAGCCTCAGCCTCCGCGAGTCGCGGCCTGCGCTCCAGCCACTCCGAAGGCCAGGACCCCCGTGAGGGCTCGAAGGGCCACGAAGGCCAAGGACTCCCAGCAAACGGACATGAAAAGTTTTCTCCGGAGTGTCGCGGACGCCAAGCCTGAATCTGAAACGAAGAGCCTACCTGCTGCTCCTGCTCCTGCTTCCACCTCCGTTCCTACTTCCGATGAAACCAAAGCCCAGGATGACGAGCTTGCCTCAGCTCCTGTCGAAGAGCCAACAGTCATTAAGGAGGAACCAAATCAAGAAGATAATAAAGGAATGGTCACTATTCCTCCAGCTGAAGTAGGCAGCCATGTTCAACCTGCAGCAGTGGTTCCGAATGATGATGTTAATGTTGATAAAATGGCTCTTGAGGCAGTCAATGTTAAGGCAGCGACCAAGGAGAGCAACATTCAAAAAGCTCGAAAGGTAAGCAGACTCCCACTGAGTCATTTTTGCAATATTTCTCCTTTCATCTTTCAATTCTTATTGGTGCTAATGAAATACCTTTTTAAGTTAAGCTTTATTTGCTGCTATCAGTTTTCGTACCTGGACAGAAATTCTCAGGCGGTTTGGTGAGGGCTCTATCTGGAAGAATATCTGTTGCTTGGTGATCAAGTGAGAGGATCGTTTAGAATTTTGATTCACCAGGGCCAGCCTATTCCCCACGCTGCTGTGCTGTCAACTGAGGTCTGAGTGGGGAACTTTAGTAGTGTCAGCACTTTTGCGCAGCATGTGCTGACCTTGCTTGTGCTCTAGCTCTGTAGTACTGTGTAGAGAGTTCTTTGCCCCTTGGCTTCCTCAGCCTGCCCTACTGCCTGCTTCAAATTAGAGATCCAATCATAGTTAAGATATTTGTCTGGGGGTGCCTTAATATGGCTTGTGATTCACTGACATGTTGGTGTGAGAATGATGAATGTTGGCATGCTGACGATGCTACTTCTGGTGTTATGGTTTGTATTTCCAAGTGCAAAGAAGGGCAAGAAAGTGACCATATGAGAGATTGTGATTGTCACTGATACAACTCTCGTATATAAAAGTCTTTTGTCACTGATTCCCTTATCAGGAGAACATCTCAAGTGTCCAAGGCTAGGAGCTACCTCTGGGGATACATTCCAAAGGCTTTGTCTTGTGAACAGACCCACAGAAACATGGTTAATCAGTGGAGAGAAAGAAAGTAGCACTCTGAAAGAAACAGGTTGTTGCTGATACAACTCTCCAATAATAAGATTCCAGAGAACATTCTCATGTGATTAAGGCCACTATTGAGACTACTTTTGGAATAACAATTAGTTTAGTTAATCTAAAATGGTTAATTAGGTTCTGGTTTTCTGCGGTTTTCTAATGTTTCTTTTTCTAATTTTTTGTCGTATCACTTGTTTTAGGAACTTTCTCTTGGGGACATCAAGTCAAAGTTGACGCGATCAGCACGTCTTGCTGAGTTGAAAGCGTCCTTAGCTCGCTTTGATGAAGGGCGGAATAAACTTGTTAAAATTGAGGAAGCAAAACAAACCTTGCTGGACTCAAACTCCACCAAACCACAGTTGGCCCAATTCAGCACCATTCAGCTAGAAGTGCCTTCAAGGTAGGTATTGTTTCCATTTTATTTAGGGCTTTGTAAGGATGTTTGACCTTGTTTAGCTTTAAACCAATACTGTGTCTTCTTTCAGCCCTTCAAAATCTCCCATGAAAAGTCCCATGAAAAGCCCTCAGAAATGCCTGGCCGGATCTAGAAGTCCTGCTTTTCAGCGTTACTCATCACTTGCCCAGTCTGAAAAGTTGCCTTTGCCTCACAACTATCGTCATTTAGCTGAGTTATTCCGCTGTATGGAGGGAGTTGTGTCAATGTACTTCAATCGCAAAGAAATAATTACATTCAGGAAATTGCAGCCATCTGTTCAAAATATGGGTCACAAGTATGTAACAAAATATTTCTGTTGGGTACAAAATGCCATCTTCAACTTGACATACCACTAATTACTTCTGTACATGCAGAAATTTCACCATTAACCACCTGGCGCAGATAGTTACAGTATTTCCTGAGGCATATTCTCTCAAACAAGAAAAGGTTCATAGTTTTGCCTCACCTACAAAACATGACAAGTATCACCTTGTCATTCTCCCAGTTCTTAAATCGGGTATGTCTTTCAATCAATTCCTTGAGCTTGTTACATAATTCCATCTTGTATCTAATTTTTTATCATTATTAGAAGATAACAATTTGGGAAAGCCATCAATGACTCCTTCTGAAATGAATGAGAGACAGCAGCGCTTTTTTAAAAACCTTCTCGACATAGTGAAAAAACACCATGAGGTTTGGCTTCAACAATTCACTGCTTTTGAATGTATTTTACACTTTGCGTGTATTTATTAGCATTTTCTTCAAACCCAGATTTTTCTTCAAACTCTCAATCCACCTATTGTCATCCCAGCTGGAATGTTGACTAGATGGCACCCTGAGTTTGCTGTTGATCAGGTGCCCGATTTACCAAGAGCTCCTCTTCCTCAGCCACCCAACCTGGAGAAGTGTTCTTCTGCCAAAGATGTTTTAGGTACCATTTCACATGCTTTTCTGCACTTTGTTCAAGTTTTATTTGGAACAAACTTTTCTTTTCTTAGTGGGTTCCTATGCCAATTTAATTTTTTGAACTTTTTTTTTCCAGCTAAGGCAAAGCAGCTCATCTCTTGCAACCCCCGCATGGAGAAAGCCTTGGCATCAGTTGCACAATCTAACACTGGTCTACCTCAGTCTACAACAGATAATATAACTGTAGATCCTCCTGCCCCAAATAATCCTCCAACCCCAGTGTTTAAGAACATGCAATTATTGAAGGGCATACCCAACTCTCTGCTTGAAAAGGTAACTTTAATTCAAACATGATTTGTGGAGGCTTTAAAAAATTGTATCACCTATTCTTTATCACTGGTCTTTTTCTGTTCACTTCTAGGTCCGAGCTAAACAAGCAGCTAAAGCAATGGAGGCTATGACTCGAACTAAAGAACAGGATAATGAAGCTATTCAATATGCAAGACTGCCTGAAATTGCTCGCATATTACGATGTGTGTTCGTCACTGAGAAGAAGGGTTCTTTACCATTAGAATTTGTTCTTGAAAAAGTGAATAATAGTTACCGCTCCTCATTGTCCCACAGTAAGTCCAAGCTTACACAAATGTGTCTGGAACTTGATTATGCACTTGTGATATAACTACTTTTGTTTTTCTAGGGGAACTGGAAGAGCACATTAAATTATTGGCAAAAGCAGTTCCTGGATGGGTAAGTTTTGATCATCTTCTGAAAACAGAGTATCTGAAGCTCTCGAAAAAGGGTGATATGAATCGAGTCATGAATCGACTGAACGAATTGGCAAGCAGCAAATAAGCTATTATAGTTTTCTTACATTGGGTTTGGAATTCTTAAATGTTTGAGTGTGTGTTCCAGAAACTTCTTAAATTATTTTATGTCACAATGAACTGTAGATACTCGGGTATTAACTTGACTGAAATGTTGCTTAAAGACTGACATCCATAGTAAGTAATGTTTTTTTAAATAAATTTGTTTGGTATTTATACATCAAGCTCGTCACTATTGTAGGATCGAAGCAGAAAACAGTTGATCTGAATTTTAATTGGTTGTCAACAACTACTCATTCTCACCAAAGCAAGTAGTGTAAATATGTATTTTACGTATAAGGAAGGAATTATTTTATTCAGGATAGGATTGCTTAAGAACTGTGAAATATTGATGTTGTCTTGCAGACAGTGAGCATCTGGGACTGCATATTCAATCGGTGGCCATGCCTTTTGCTAGCTCGTGGGTAAGCAGCCCCAGGTGGCAGGCTGTCTGGAGCATTTCTAGGCCATCCTACCCTGGGACGTCATGTACCAGGTCAAAGTCACTTTTAACTTACTGCAGAGTTCGTTTTAGGTTTTTGTCAAACGCTTTTGTTGCAGCCAGCCTCTGTATTACTATTTTACTGTGTTTTAGCATGTGTGTGTTTTCTTGTTTAAATCATAATTTATTATTGGCTCACTTAATGTTACTTAGGGAAGAAATTGCGGCTTTGATTGAACTAAGATGAATGCATGTTCTTCAAATTCTTTTAATCACATTGTTATAGAATAAAGTACATATGTACTGTAGTACATAGTATGTACCTCTTTTGTGAATTTTGTCTCTAAATTGTGCCCTTGAATGTTATTTAATAAATGCAGATTACATGGAATTGTGACGATTTTTCCCCTTTCTGAATATTTCACAACTGCTTTTGAGCTTTGCTCAAGGTGTGCTCAAGGTGTTGAGGGTTTAAAAGGATACTAACAAGCATATAAAATTTATGTTTTCTTTCAAACTTTAATATAATGTAGGTAATCTCATTATTGTAATATCTAAATATGGCACAGTTAACTGAGAAAGTGTTACAAGGTCTAATTAGCTAATTATGGCACAATTCTACTAACTTCTATTTTCTATTATTATTCAGCCTCTAGGTTACATAAATACTCAGTAATTGTAGGTTTGCTTTCAGAGAGCACTTGACATGCAGTGCAAAATCTATCAAACATATTGTAAAATGGGTCTTCTCAAATTCAAAGCTAATTCACATCATGGGTAAAGAGCTAAATTCTACAGAACTTGATCATAACTATACTATCTAATGCTGTATTAAATCAGTCAAGTAGGCTGAGAGAGCTGTACATCTCAGAAAGCATCATGTATAGTCTTCTCTTTGTGTGGGAAGATGCAGGAGATCTAGCAAGGTCATTTGTTTCTGAGTCTGGGTTAGAGCACAGCCTAAGAAGAGCTGAAAGTGCTGAAGATGTTCGTGGAGACATAAGTAGGCCAGGAACCACAACTGTGCCTGACAACGTCCATCCAACAAAAAGTTTTTCACAAACAATCTGAAAAGTAGATTTGACTGAATTATGCATTTCATATTCATAAGTGAAACAGGTTTGAACCTGTAGAGAGAATACCTGCAGATTATTGTTGGTAACTGGATTATCACATGTACCGCTGAGATCACCACATCGTGAACGACAGTCAAAGAAATCACAATCAGCATCTCTTTCGCATTGTCGCCCATCTCCAGTTATATGGTTTGCAAACCGGCGAGGTAAAACTGAATCCAAGTCTAGAAACTTAATCCTCTGTGCACCAGGTGTCATACCAAAATGGTCCATCTGCACAGAGAAAGTAAAATTTATCATGATAATTCATGACTAGTTTTGGGTGCCTATGTAAGTGACTAAAGTAATCACCTTTACATCACATAAGTGAAATGGCTCAGGAAGATCTCTTTCAAGTTGCTCCAGAAGCTCCAGTGTCATCACTGCCAGCTTTACTCTATCAGGCCAATCAGCATCTACTGGCAATGGTTCAAGATATTCAACAGCATAGTACTGTCCACAAACTCCAAGAAGACGAGGGAAAACCCCTCTGTCACCAAATACAGCAGAGCAGACAAACTCATGATCATGTGCAAATTGCCACAAATTTACAAGCTCTTCCCCATATTTTGGATGTGTGGATTCATGATGAATTACTGCCCTCATTAGGTTTGTCACCTGTAATTCAATTAATTAGGAATTATAGCAGCAGATGGCAACCTTTATGGATTTGTTCCAAATGAGAATTTTTTACCTGACTTTCTGTTACTGATACATTTAATTTGGCAACAAGAAGTTCTTGCAACATATATTTAAATTCTGCATCAGATGGAACTGATATTCTTCCAAAGCTGTCAGGCTGGAACATGGCCTCACCTAAAGCTGCGTCCTGCAAAATATTTTGTTATAATGAAGTAAGTCAGTATAGCATCATAAAATTGAATTTAAGTCCATGAAATTACCTTGGAATACTTTGCTGAGTACTTAAAAATAAGCTGAGAACTATCATCTTTTTCTGCTGAAAATATAGCTTCTTTGCCTCCTCGAAATGTGTGACAGGCAGGTGCTCGTATCTTTTTTTCTCTGCATAGTGCTGGACACAAATTTCCAACTATTTCACCTCTGTTGTACATGTCACACTGCAAAACAATATCAAACAATTTTTTTTTTGTTTTGGTTTTTGTTGATCTTTTTTACAAATACAGTACTATTTAGAAAAAAATTGTTAGAGAAACAAAACAGTACCAGTTTATTGACATGTCTGCCTACGAGGACATTGGAACACACGACACCCCAGTCCATGAGGAGGTATATGACCGTAACGAGGAATATACCCGTCAAAATGAACCCCATCGACACTTGCCGGTGGCGATACAGTAAACTGGGAAGTCTCCGTATGACCAACATGTTCAAACGAGTCACTACGGAACGTTCTGATCCAATTGGTGGACACCACAAACTCAAGACTTTTCCTGCATGTTAATTAGAGTGTCTCTCATCAACTCATCAGCTGATTGCACCGATATTGCACTTGGATGAGAGCGCATGAGGCTTCCCACGCGTGCTGCCGGACGCCGAGACGCGCCGATCGTGGCGCGGACGACGCGTCAGGGTTCCTTGAACTCGATTTCGGTTAGGCTCTCAGCCACACTCAAGCAGGTTACCCTCCTCCCCCATATTCTGTCAAAATGGGTTGAGAACGCGAGTCTGACGGGTCCTCTTCCTCCGACTTCCTACTCCTCTTCGATCGAGGCGCGCGCGCGCTTGCGCAGAGCGCGCCAACAGCGCTAGTGTCGCGTCGTCTGCTCAGCCTGCCTCAGCTGTCGTCTGCTTGGAACGCACGCGAGACTTTGGAAGGTGAATGTTCTTGTGATAAAATGTGCGCGTCGTCGGCCCCGCCTGCGAGGGCTGTGTCGGAGTGAGCCACGGAGGCGGCCGCAGCGTTCCGCGCCATGTCTTCCCCGCGGCACTCCGCTGGACCCGGGCGCTGGCCGGAAAACGGCGCCGCGAGGTTATGGGCGTATCGCCATCGTCGCGGCGGCACGTCGCGGTGCAGGGTGCCAGGTTAACGCAGAGAGGGGAGGCGGCGCGGGGCGCGGCCAGTGCGGCGGCCGACCTTCAGCCGTCCTTGCAGCGGTCCTGAGGCTCACTTGCCGACCAAGGGGACCAAGGGCCGGGCGGGAAACCGGCCTCTGCCTTTGGAGCCTGTGAACGCGGCCGCCGGTGCGACTCAGTGAATCGCTGTCAATCACTCAACGGCCGACAAGGCGCGGACATGTGTGGCGAGGCGGCGCGCGCGTGGGGTATCGCCCAAGTCTAGCCGCTATGGCCCTGGCTGGCCTGGCTGGCCTGGCCCCGCGAGTAGGGCCACCGTTCGGCTGAGTGCAGACGAGTGAACAGTGCCAATCACGGGTCATTTCGGTCACAGTGGAGCTGATAATCCTTCATCTATCGACGCCAGGTTAGTTCCCATTTCTTCAAAATCTCATAAGCCGTTTGTTTTGATTTTATTTTCTCCTTTTTGGTGATGTCGCTGCATTACTGATTAATGGGCGCACAAGTGAAGTGTGGTGATTTGGTATACCTGCGCTTTAATGGGGATGCGTTTAGCATGCATTAGGATGCATCAGCTAGTGAGTGGTAGCATGGCGACGTGATAATGTGCACTTGTGAAAAGTGTTGGAAGGGAGGGGGGAGGGGTTTGTTCCAATACATTCTGAAAATTCTTCAATGGTTTTCCCTTGCACGCTTTTCAATAAAACATGCCAGCCGTAGAAGGGCCGGCCCCGCCGTCGATCTGAGCTGGTCGCTGCATTCATTTGCGCGGGTCGATGCGCGTCATTGCGGCGCGCTTTGGCGGTCACTCTCAATTCGCACTTGAAGGCGCTGGGCTGCGCTGGGCGGGGGCGTTGTCCCTCTGCTCGAATCCCGGCCGCGCTGGCACGCTGGCCACGGCGTGGCAGGCCGAGGCCTGGGCGTTGTGGGCCGCTAGGCCCCGCCCAGCCCCGCCAGGGCCTCTGTCTGATAGGGTCATCGGGGGTCAGGGCCAGGAGCCACACGGCAACCCGTCGCGGAATTAGGCCGGGGACACTGCCACATCCCGGCCGACTCGGTGGCTCGACACAGCGGCGGCCACGCAGGATATGAACTCGGCCGGGCGTCCGCGGCCGTGGCGGCCGACGCACACTCAGCGACCCCGCCGACGTCGAGCAGAGCCTGCTGGTACTGAAGGGAGCGAGGGGTCATGTGGGCGAAAGTAACGGCCGGTGAACGGCCTGCTGTCCTGTTTGTTTACACGGCCTTGACCGCAGAGTCTTTGCCCCCTCCCCTCCCCCGGCGGTGCAGCCCGCACCCCTGCGACAGCAGGCAGCAATCCTCTCGCTCTCGCGGGAGGCTTTCTCCATTCCCATCCCGGCCCGTGGGTCGTCAAGGGTGATGCGGAAAGCAATAACCCGGATCGAGTCCAACCGAGGAGCAGCGCACCACCACCCCCTGACTTGTCCCTTTTTCTTTACTCCTCGTCGTGTTGTGGATTCAAAGTTGTGGCTACAAACAGCGACGTCGTTCTGGACGGCGATGGTCTCGGCGTTTGCGGCCGGCAGGGGACCGATGGGTCTCGGTAGCCCCTTCCCTCTCGTCTCCGTTTCGGCCACACTCGCTTCGATTCCCCTCCCTTCCCACTTTTTCCCCTCCGCAGTGTGATGGAGACGTGCCGCCGTGCCGTCGAGCGATAGGAAAGGGGCGCACCCTTTGCCGAAGCCCGCGTCGTGCATCTTCCTCTAAATATACCCCCGCTGACATTTCACGGGCGCGGTGGGTCGCCCGTCTGCTTTCGCAAGTGCCCGCCAATGGCTGGCCAGTGTAGGTGCTCTTGTCGAATTTTGGCAGTGCTGCCTCGGCTCACCTGTCCGCGCCGCGCCGTGCCGCGCCGCGCCCTGCAGCCCAGCCTCGCGAGCTGCATGAGTGGCATCGTTGGCTCGCCCCGCCAAGCTCCGCCAAGCTGCAGACTCATTCCGAACAGCGTGTCGCTCTCGCCCATACGGAACGCCCCATGAGTGCGAGAGAGGCAGATCGACGAAAGCGCTGTTTGGAATAGCTTGGCGGGCTGGCTGGTGTGGTGTCTGACGGCGGCGAGCCATGTCGCGTCGCCTTGTTAGCGCCGCGGAGGTAGGCAGTCGGTGGTGGGCCGGCGCAGGGGCGCGCGGCGGATGGCCTACCCCGGAAGACGCAGGCGCTCCCTGCCGCGCCGTGCCGTGCCGACAGAGTCCTTAAGTCTTTAGGACCCTAGTGCCGGGGTGGCGGGCGGTGGGACAATGGGCACCTTGGGCCTCGCGCGCCTCGCGTCCTTGTCGTCAACGAGGGGATAAAGTGTCGTCAGAAGCAGTGGAAGAAGTAGTGGACTGCACCACTATAAGGCAGCACCTTCCACTGCGTCCCGTGTGCCGTGGCTCTGCAGTGCGTGGCCGGGTGCCGGAAGGCGGAGTGTCTGCGTCGGCCCCGGGCGCATGGCACGACTGCATGCACTGTATGGCATCGAAAGGCCCCGAGCCGAGAGGCGATGCCGTCCGCTCTGAGGCACAGTGCGCCATTCCGTTCTCAGGACCCATTTTTGCGCCCTCTCCCCTCCCCCTCCCCCTGCCCCTCGTGGCCAGCAGACGATCCGATAGGGTGCGCGGCGCTGCGTCTCCTTATCGCTGGTCACGGCTGGGTTAACTGGCGGCCGCGTGGCGGCCGCGTGTCTGGTCACTCGTAAACGGAAGGGGTGACTGCGTTGAGTGACTCCATGGAGCACGCCGTACGAGGCCGTGCGCTGTTGTCACAGACTCGTCCCAGCAGTCTTAGCGTGCCGCAGCCTGTGGCGACCGTGGGCATCAAGATCGCACACCACTGTTGTGGCGTGTGTGTTAGCAGGTTTGGCAAGTGGCAGCGTCCGCGGTCCCTGGCTGTGCCACATCCCCGCTAATCCCCTCCCAGAAGTAAAATGGCACCGATGCACTTGGATTGGTCTCAATGGCGTCTGCAATCGGGCCCGTCCTTGGGAATGGCAAACAGTCGGGGCGATAACTGTGGCGAACGGGACGAAGACGACGACGCGGCCCCGCGCCTTTTGCGTTTTGCGGAGCTTCCCTCATAACAGTGGCCCCGCTGCCCGCTCCGCACTCCGCCCCTCGCAGCCCAGCGGCCCAGTGCTTGGTCCAGCGCTCGCCGGCCGGCCCGTCGCTGTGCTTTGATCGCGGCCTACTTCGAGGAGGCAGCGGTGAACGATACCGTGAGAGGAAAGCAAAACGATGGCCTATTCTAGCAGGGCTTCTCCCCGCCCCGGGCCGGCCCGGGCCGGCCAGCCCCGCCCCAGCAGCGCGTCACATGTTCGGCTCGTATTTGCTGCCCCCAGCCGAGCCGCTCGCCGTCACTGTCAATATTGACCAAAACTGACCGCCTCTGCCCGGCAAGTGGCTGCGGCTGGCAAAAAGCAGCCGCGCTGCCCAGCCTTCCACAAAACCGAGAACGACGGTGAGAACATGTGCCAAAAACTTTTGCTGTTGTCTTCCTTGCGAGGGCACGGCGACGCGCTTCGGTACGCCTGCTAGGCCCCCGGCAACAAGCGGGGGTGGCGCCGCGAGGCCGTGACCTGACGTCGAGTCGCGGTGGATCGCCCTCCCTCGGGACAGGAACGTCGTGCTCGGGGTGCGCACTGCGTTGCAGTTGGGCGGGGTCCTGATCCTGGCGGTAACTCGTGCCCTTGGCGAGGCCCTTGCGCCGCCTTGCGCCTTGCCCGTCCACCGCGAGCTGATTAGCGCTTCAAGTGTGCGTCGCCACATCTCGAGGCTCGGGTGGGGCGCCCTGCGCGTCAGCCCGCGGCCAGCCCGACCTACCTCAACGACTCGACGACACGGCTGCCGTGTCACAGCGCCGCGGCCCGCTGACCACCGTTCCAGCGCCCAGCCGCCCGGACCCCGGGCCGCGCTGACCGTCGTCCCGCCCGCCTCGTTTCACGCGCCAAGGTGACCAGCGCTCGCTCCTTTTCTCTTGGCAGCAAGACTTTTGTTTACCATCCGTAGACGTGGCTTTTCCCCACTCGTCCGCGCCTGCTCGCCCGCCCGTCTTCCCAGCCGCTGTGGTGCTGCTACGCTGCTGGCGCTGTTGGCTCAGTTTGGCCGAGATCCTCTTGGGGCGCCCGGCCCGGGGATGGGTTCGGCATGGACACGGGGCGGGGCGAGGCGGGGCGAGGCGGCCGTTGCGTTATCTACCCAAATTGTCGCTGGTTCCTCCTCAGGCGAGTGGCGTTTGACATTGTGAAGCCGTCGCCCAAGGAGCGAGCGAGGAGTCAGTGAACTTTGAAATGGCGTTCGGCCCGGGTGCCAAAGCGCGCGTCGATAAAAGAACAGAGAGGGAAAACAAGCAAATTGCCACCGCTCCGAATCGATAGCGTGTGCCTTGACGGCGAGCCGCATGCGACTGGCAGTCGCGAGGTTGGAGAAACCCTTCTTCGTGTCGTGGACCGCGCCGAGCGCATCGTGGAGGCAGAGGCCGAGACACACGAGTAGACACTCTTTCCGCTCGAAGACTCTGGACTCAGACCGGCTCGGGGGTCGAGGGCCAGGTCCAAGTCCTGGAGGCCGGGCCGCGCGATTGAAGGGCGCCCTGCCTCGCCCTGCCTGGCGAGTACTGCAGACACTGCAGCGCAGACGGCTTGCGCCACATTCCTCTTGAACGCGAGCAGCGAACAAACAGTGACATTGCTTGTGTGATCGGTTTTCTTCAAGTGGCCCTCTTCATCGGGCCGACATGATGGCGCACCGCCAGCATGAGACAGCCGCGGCGTCCATTGCCGCGCCCCGAGCAGCACGCGATGCTTGACCTGCTCCCTTCTGCTCGAGGCCCGGCTCGAGGGGCGACGCCAGCCCACTGGCACCCCTCGCGGTCGGCCCCGCCCCGCCCCGGCCCGGCCCGGTCCAGAACAGTGTACTTGTGCGCCGGAGTGGAGTGCGTCCGCCGCTGTGCCGCGCTGTGCCGCCACGGCCGTGGTGCGTTGCGTCGGCCGGTTGGCGGTACCCATCGGCAGATAGGGAAGGCCAGGCCCTTATCGCTGTGCGGTGCATTGATCCTCCCGGCCATGCCGCGGCATGCCGTGCACGGCAGACGGGCCACACTGGCCGCACTCGTCCCAGGTCACACAGGAAGAAACGCAGACGCGCAAATGTTTACCAAGAGGCATTCCACGCGGTACTCGTGGGCACTGGTAGCTCACGTCCAGGACACCCGCAGGTGCTGCGGGGCTATGGCCGCGCCACCGCGCCGCCAAAGCGACGACGGCGCAGAACGCGCAGAGCGGGGCACTGAGGGGCTCAGCAGCGAGGGAGCGACCCGACCTGCCCCACTGTGCGCTAGGCCGCTAGGCCCGCGCTAGGCCCGCTGTTTATAAACGCGGGCCGCCGGCCGGCGGGGTCGGGGCGGGGCGGGACGGGACGGAGGGACCACCTTGACCGCGAGGCGGCGCCGTGGCGGCGCGCTAGTCGTGCACGCAACGTGGTGCGCTCGACGTCGCGGCGGACGAGAGCGGCCGAGCAGCGTGGAACAGTCATGTCCTGCAGGACGAGGAGTTCCCCCTCGTCTACTTGGACGGCCACTTTCACGCCGCGGCGTTGTTCGGCTCGAGCAGCAAGGCGCAGTACTACGGCCACGGCCGGCCGCTGAAGGCTGCCTTGCGAGGGTGCCCTGCCAACCCCGTGCCAGCGCCGCTAGAAATAGCCGGGCCGGCCGCCGGTCGCCAGTGACACGTCCGGCCGCCAGTTAGCGCTGCGCTACCCTTCTCTCTTGCACACAAACACCCCCACACGGGCGCGCGCGCACACAGTGTGCCACACACACCAACGCAGGTAAACAAACCGCGTGCCGGTCTGATAATGGACCAGTCGGTTCGCTCTTGGTTCTGGGTTCGCCTCCTTGGCGGCGGCATGGCGGCGGGGAAGGGGACGACTGGCCGGGCCGCCCGGCGGCCGGGCCTGCCGCGTAGCAGCGCAGCACCGCGCCTCAACCGCCGCGGCCGCGACCTCCGCGCAATGCGGCCCCTCCCCTTCCTCCCCTCCTCCCCGTGGCCGTGCATCGTCTTGGCGTGGCCCGCGCATCTCCTCGGCACCCGCGCTCAGCGTGATCCGCTCGGCTTGGCCAGGCCTGGCCCGGCCCGGGCCTATCCCCAGGGCGCGGCGGCGCGCGGCGTCTGCAGGCCGTCTCGCCTCCACTCACTGGCCCGCGCTCAGCAGCTGCGCACTGCTCCACGCTCCGTCCGCACCGACAGCCCGGCCGCGCGCGATCTGCCGACTTCCCCGCCCGACCCGAACGAGAGCACGCGGGAAACACCTCGCCTCGAGAGTCTCGAGTGGGCCGAGGATCCCGATGCGGCGGCGTGCTCGCGCGTGCTCGGGCAGCGCAGCGGCGTGGCGGTGACGTGACCAGGTGACAGCGCGACGACATCGCGATGCCGGTCGGCCCGGCGCGGCCCCCTCCGCAGTCCTGGCAGTCCGCGAAGCGCCGTGCGCCGGCGAGGATGTGACGGTCGCTTGGCCTAGGACTACGCCGAGGACCCCGTCAAGACACCGCACCGACTGTGAACAGTGGCTTCTGCAGGGGCGGTGCGGAGTGACAGTGTGATGTGCGACAAACAGGCGGACGGACAGTGATACGAGCAGTGAGTAGAACAGTACAGTAAATCGATCTGTGCCCTACCCCCCCATCATGCCCTCGGAAGACACCTGCTGCGCCTGCCCCTGTGGGCCCTGCGTGACTTGCGCGCCTCTGCGGGACTCGAAGCCGCCGAAACAGCGAGGCCGACACGAGTGAGTAGCGCACAGCGCGCAGGTTAGGGCAGGTACCGCACGGCTTAGCTTTTATTTCGATACGTCGTCGACCCACGGCCCCACGGCCCACGCACTCGTTTCGGCGGTGATTTGGCGCTTTGGCGCGCTTTGCTGTGCTCTGCTGCTCAGGACTCACTAGTTATTTTTAGTTCCCCGGCGGCTCGAGTTGAAGCGAGGCGGCCTGCGCGGTGCGCGGCCAGGACCTCGACAACTCCAGCCGTGTTAGGGGGTTATGAGCCTGCTAGCGGCAAAACGAGACCCGGCTCGGCTCGGCTTGGCGCCAAAACCGGACGGGACGGGGAAGGCGCCGGGTGGCCCGAGCCAGCAGCGCCAGCAGGCAGCTCGGACGCGCGATTCGTTCTCGGCCGTTCCCGGCAACATGGCCAGGACACGTACGCGATGCTCGCGGTTGCCGATCCACCGAAGCGAAGCGAATAACCCAGTGACCACCCTGGACACGCCGAAGCCCCGCGCGCGCCAGTTTGGCGACGCCGCCAACGAGTGCAAGGTTCGGGTCGAGGCTCCCTGGGCACCGGTGCAGGGAGGTTGGACTGGAGCAGTGACGTCGACTCCTGCATGAATGGGCGATGGACGATCTCTCGCCTCTGCCGGCCGGCGCAGGGCAGCGCCGGGGCGCAGCGTGTCTCAAAAGCATTTGATTTCTGCAGAAAGAGAGTGGCCTTCCCTGCCGCCGGTGCCAGCGCCCCAGTGCCTCCCAGACTTAATTTGAGGCTGCTGTACGCCGCGCTGTATCGCCGGGAGAATGAATGGGTGACCCCGGCCCCGGTCTGCGGGGTCGTCTGGGTCTTCCGCGGCCCTTGGGCACCTCGGACTCACTCGCAGTGCCCGAGGCGTGTCATCGGTTCCCTCCCTTCCTTCGCCTAGCGGAGAGCGGGCGGGTGGGGGCACTGGGCCCCGCCACGGCGCGCCACCTCCTTCCATGCCCCAAGGAGACGATGGAAATAGGCTGCCGAGCGCTTTGGTCTTATCGCGGGAGATTTGTTATTATTATTGGCGCGCTGCCCTCCCCCTCCCCCTCCCTCGCAGCCATCACGTGCTCCCCACGCGGAGGTCGCCGTGGGGCCGCGTTCCGGGCGTGGCCGCGCAGGTGGCCGACGGTGATGGTGGCGCCCTAGGCCTGCCCGGCGTCCCTGCGTGACCCCAGCAGTGCCGGCACGCCCCGGGGGAGGGCTCCGAGGGTCGCTGACAGTCGCTGGACGGCATCCTGCACGGCATCCTGCAGGTCGCCGTAAACCGCAGCTAAAATTGCCACTGTGGGGAAGGCGCGGCGCGGAGGGGTCGACTTTTGCCCTCGCGACAATGACCCCAATAAAAAACGGGTCTGCTCGATAACAAGTGTGGCATAAGATTAGAGTCCCGGCATGGCGGCTACTTATACCCCTTCGTCCGGCCCGACCGCGGAGCGCCTCGTCCGGGGGCCGCTCGGCCGTTCGCTCTGTCGCCAAGGACCTCGGCGTCGAGGACCCCTCGACGGCCGGCTGGCTCCGACTGGCCAGTGCTGCAGTGGCCTGGACGAAGCGTGATGCAGTGGGGCGCGCGGCCAGGTTGCCGCGACACGGCGACACACAATGCCACCGCACCGCCTTGCGACATTGCCCTGCACTGCCCCCAGTTCAAATGACCACGCTATTGATGCTCGTACAACAGCGATAAAAATGGCCGCGGCGTGCATGCCGCCGCACTGTGAAAACGTATTATCGCTACGTACTCATCAAGTTTATTTTCGACTGTCTTGTTTGTTCCCGTCGGAAAGAGGCGAGACGTTTGTGAAAACGTAGTAACTGCGACAAAGCGCTCAGTTCGGTTGTATGACGAGGGAGAGGGGGGGAGAGAGGGAAGGACAGCAGGTTGATTCGCATTCGCATTTTTGACCTGCTGACCATAACTATTGGAGGTTCCGGCTGTATCCAGGACTCCGGAATGCTTCTGCGTCCCCCGAGTCCTGGCAGTGGTGATGGCACCACCGGGTGGGTAGGCGATGCCGCGTCGCGCGGCCGCGGGGGTGGTGGGCCAGCCTCGCCCTGCCTCGGCCACCCCGCGCACGTTCTGGCGGGGGCAGCAGCATGTGGCTTGGCGAGAGGCTTGGCGCCGCAGATGGCGCCAGATGGTGATACCGAAAGCAGCCGAAAGCCAAAGCACAATCTCGACCTATCGCCCGGCCGTGCGTTCTGGCTTGTGAGTCCGCCCTGTCGCCACGTGTCGCGAGGGGGGTGGTTTCAAAGTTTCCATTGAGCGTGGGGCGTTGCCCAAGTGCAAGTGGCAGCGGCGTGCTGCTGAGAGAAACGAGAACCTGTTGTCTCGCTGAGACTGGGCCGCGTCCTACTCCCCCCGTTTGTCCTGTCGCGTGGCCGGGATCGCGGTGTTTGTCCAAGGCTTCCCGCACGCGTCGCGCGTCGCGCGCGTCGAGGCCCTCCCTCCCTGCACCCTGTGCACCTGCTGTGATGCGCGGTGCGTTTGTTTGCCCCGGCCTCGTCCGTCGGCCGGTGCCACGGCCTTGGCCGCGGCGCGTCGCGACGCGATGCACCGGCGCGTTGGAAAAAGGGGGCGGGGGCCGAGGGCCGAGGCCGCGGCGCGCCAGGAGGCACCGGACGGGGTCATCGCACCCAACCCAAATTCTTGTATTCTCGCGCTTTGGCGGCCCCACGCCCCACGCGAAATAGCGGCGCGCGCCCCGCCGCCCACCCACTCGGGGCCAGGACGCCAAGGCGCGCGGCCGCCCCGCCAGGCTGCCAGCCGCTGCGGGGCCGCTGGGGCTGGGGGGCTAACTTTACATCGCGCATCGCGCGCGCCCAGTGACAAATGCGAGTGAGAATAAGGGCGAGCTAGAGCCTCGTATCACGCCTCTGATCGGAAGAGAGGCACATGGCTCATGTTGTCGCGGGGCGCTCGCTGAGCTCGCTGACGTTGTTGCGCGTGTTTCAGGATGACGACGGAGCAGCGGACCCCCTGCGGCCTGGCGGACACGGCCAAGGGCAGCAAAGGCGCGGCCGGGGCCGGGGGTTGCCGGGGCGTGGGCGTTGGCCGCGCCGAGGCGTTCGCCCGCAGCCTGCACCACAAGCTCCGCAGCCTTGGAGGCGCGTCCGCGTCCTCCACGTCCACCACCAGCATCTCCAGCGCCTCCAGCAATGGCGCGGCCGGGCACGACTCCGATGACATGGAGGACTCGTGGTCCAGCGCCCCCAGCGGGCCCAGCAGCCTCACCGCCCTGCGCACCCTCAGCACGTCCTCGGTGGACAGCGCCTCGGACATGTTCTACGACCTGGAGCTGGTGCCGCAGTCCCCCGAGGAAGAGGTGACCTCGCAGGAGCTGGCCCTCATGATGGCCGGTAGTGCGAACCGCGATGACCTCCACAGCAACGGCAACGGGCCGCAGTCCCCGCAGAGTGACTGCAGCTCGGACTACTTCGACACGGACTGCTACGAGGAGGAGCGCCGTGCGGCCCCTGCCGTAACGCAGGTGTCGCCGCTCGACGGGGACGCGGCCCTGTCCAACGGGGTGGCGCCGCCTCTCGTCAACGGCCACGGCCTCGCTAATGGCTCTACCAACGGCGTCGCCAACGGCCTAGCCAGCGGCCCAGCCAGCGGCCCGGCCAGCGAACTAGCCAGCGGCGCAACCAACGGCTCCGTCAACGGCGTAGCCAATGGTCCTGCCAAGCCCAAGCGGCCGTGGAACCGCGTCCCCCACCGCTTCAAGGCGGGCACGCCCGAGGCCATGTGCGAGGTGAGTCAGCTCGTCCTGGACGATCCTGACGATGACGACGAGGAGACGAAACCTTGCAGTAGGAAGACCGGCCTGGCAAAGCTCAGCTTCCCCAAGAGCTCGCAGACACTTCTGCAGGAAGGGCTCATCGAGCAGCTGAAGCAGGGCCACGACATCCCCGTGGAGCTCAAGAACGGCCTGTGCCCTGGTGACGCGGAAGACAGCTGTGGCGCCCCCGTGGCCGGCAGCAGGGGCCTGACCGCCATGAAGGAGAAGGCGCGCGCCCTGGACGCGCTCGCCACTCCGGAGGATACCCTTCGCCTGGACGCTCTGTGCCAGGACGCCGCGGACGCCGCGGACGCCGCGGACGCCGCGGACGCCGCGGACGCCGCGGACGCCGCGGACGCCGTCATCAAAGACGTCGTGGACAAGGACGCAGTGCAGAGGAAGGAGGCTGAGCTCGCCGCCAACGCCAGTGCCGCCAACAAGTGCAGGGCGTGCGGGCGGCAGCGAGTGCTGGACGAGTGCCCGGACTGCGCGGCGGACGACCGCGGCGACCTCTCGGACGGCGACAAGGCCGATCACGACGACGGCTCGCGCCCGCGCGTCCGGCGGTGCTCGTCCCTCAAGACGGGGAAGACGCCGCCGGGAACCCCCGGCCGCAAGAAGATCGTCCGTTTCGCCGACGTGCTGGGCCTGGACCTGGCGGACGTCCGGACGTTCCTGGACGAGATCCCTAAAGTGCCGACGTCAGCGTACAGTGACCTTCAGGACGTGGACCAGAGCGACGCGGTCGCCGCGGACGGCTGCCTGCCCAGCGGCCTGCCCAGCGGCTTGCCCCAGCTCGCGCTCGCCTTCAACGCGGTGCCCAGCACGGACCTGCCGCCCTTCGGCGCGCGGCCCGTGACGCGCGTCCTGGTGCCGCTGTTCCAGCAGCCCGGCGGCCTGGCCGACTTCCTGGACCGCGTGCGCGACAGACAGGCAAGAACGGTGGCTAGTCTGGCTAGTCGATCAGCTGGTGGGCGGAGCCGCAGTCTCACTTGCCTTTAACACTGCCCTTGTTGTTGCCCTTGCAGGTGTGCATGGAGAACGCGGTGGTGGCCGACGTGGCGCTGCTGTCCATCGCGGGCCAGGTGCGCGTCCGCAACCTGGACTTCCACAAGACGGTGCACCTGCGCTACACGACGGACGGCTGGCGCAGCTTCGCCGACCTGCAGGCCTCGTACGTCCCCAACTCGTGCGACGGCTTCTCCGACAAGTTCACCTTCACGCTGTTCGCGGGCCACACCATGTCGGTGGGCCAGCGCCTCGAGATCGCGGTGCGCTTCCAGTGCAAGGGCCAGCAGTACTGGGACAACAACGCGGGTGCCAACTACTGCTTCCAGTGCCTGCCGCCCTCGGGCGCGGCGCCCCTCATGCCGCTGCCCAGCCTGCATGCCCTCGGCAGTCCCTCGGACGACGGCTGGAAGTACCTCTTCTAGCTGACTGTGGTGTGGCCCCGGGCCATCAGACCTTTTCGGTTGTGCCTAGTGTACAGTACAAATCTTATCGAATCCTACAGAGATTTCCTGCACCCAGGGTGAGAAGGACTCGATGTTTCGTGAAGGACGTTTGCGTGTCTGTATGTATGTGTGTGTGCGCGCATGTGTGTGAAGGAGGTGTGTGCGTGAGTCAAGTAGTGAAAGAGATAGATCTAACTTATTTTATCGAATGATATTTGAAAGACTCGAATGAATCAGTTGAGAGCGATAGTTTTTTAGAACGCACCTCCTTTTCCCCTCCCCCCATAGTTGTGTGCCATTTTACTTGGTGGCTTTCCTAGCTGTCGTCGACGTTCCATTTCGAGGACTCCTTGTTGAGGAATAGAACCGCCCCGGCGTGTAGGAACGAAGTGTTGTACGAGTCGCATCGGCTGCCCGACAGCCGCCACGCGTAATGTGGCGGCTGTTTGACACAACGGGCATCGGTGCCGAGGCGCTGCGTTGGCAAGTGAGAAACAAAGATACGACTCTGCTCAGTTATGCAATATATTTTTTAAAATTGGTTTGAAAGAAGTTGCCAGATAGCGATATTTTACTGACAGTTTCGTTTTCATTAAATAACATATATCAATAGTTCCTTCATTTATCGTGAGTTGTACTCGGGATTACTATATCTTGGTATTTTAGACAGTAACTAAGACTGGTGCATTGTGATATATTTATGCTAAGGTCGTCGATGGTTTGGAAATACGTAGCCTTTTTTTTTATTGTTTTATTGTGTGCACTGTAAATTTAGGAATGTGACGTCACGTTCGTTAGATCGTAAATCGCTCCACGTTCGTTCGAATATTATTTCACATTTATCAATTATGGCATGCCCGGGGCCCACCTGATTCACCAGAATGCTAGTGCGAAATAGTTTAGAACGATTCACGTTCAAAAACGTGACGCCACATTCCTGGATTACAGTGCAGGTGCTGGGACTAGCTCGCCTTGCGGCGATTAGTCCTTTGCATCCGTCGTGAATCAATGTTTTTTTCAAAGCCAGGTAAAAATGAGAAATTTCGAGCCACCCTATTGTTTTTTATTGTCTGCCCCATTCGGTACATTTAATCGAATAGAGGGTAGCATTCGTTCGACACGGTGTGGCCGGACGGTCTAGGCAGAGGAGGTCTAGTCTCAGTTGACCGCCGCGCTGAGACACTGCTTCAAATGAATGTACGCGGTACATTCCGTTGACAAGCCAAAGGATCAGAGTCCCGGAGAATGTTTCCGGGGCTTCGCCTCTGTGCCTTGGGTGCTGAGGCTGCTTTAGGAGAGAGTTTGAGTCTGAGATCGGGAGGCGCCAATCCCTGCCAGGGCCGAATCCCTCCTCATACACTTCGAACATCCAATGCGCAACACCTGGTTTTGTAGATATACACGACTGCCCCTTTTTGTACAGTAGCTTGCTGTCGATGCTAGTCAATCTAAAGGCTGCCTGAGGCTGGCGGGACAGCGGAATCCCCGATGCCGGCCGAACATAGTGCTGCAGCATGGCTGCAGGCGCGACGGGCCTGCGTCTGCGTCGTATTGTGAAACCGATTCATTATTCCGTCGCTAAGTTTAAGATGTAGTGTGTGACTTATCAATGCCTTGAAATCAATCTTTGTTGACTGTGCCACAGATTTTCTTTCCAGTGGGAAAATCCATTTTTTGTCGTGTATTGTTACCATAACTTATTTGAGGCCTTTTGTGGAATTTGTCGTGCGATTACTTCAGTGCCAAACATGCCTTCGTGACGTGTTATGATATTAACTGTACATATTTATTGCTCTTGTATTCATATAGCTTTAAATGTTTTTAAATGTCATTGTTGTTATTATTGTTTATGTTATAAATTTTATAAACATTCTATCTTTTACTACTTATCTGTGGTTTATTTTCTTGTGAATTCAATATTGTCGCGTCAATTTGGGATTGAAATAGAAGAAAGACTGGGATTTGAAAGACACACGCGAGAGGACGAGTCGACGTCACAAAGTAAATGTTAAATTTATTTAAGGGAGTGCAATAAATTTTATAGATCATTATCTGAATTGTTTTTCTGGTTCGTTCCCCCTCTCTTTTGAATGTTTTTTTTAGCTACATAATTTATTTATTTCCATATGTTAAGGTAAAGGCAGGTAGAAACCGCGGCATCACTGGCTTTGCGTTTGAAGCAGGAAGTCTGAATTGATTTGAGAGAACTGAGTATCAAAGTAATGAGAAAGTAAGTGGAGGGAGAGAATGGTACGACAAATAGGCTGGCAGAGCTGTTTTCTGGAAGGCGCCGGCATACGATCATGTGTGGTCTGGCCCTTAATGGTAATGGGGAGGTAGGCAAACGACAGCGCTACGCTACGCGACAGTTCTGCCGGTTGCCTATCGTAGCTTCGCAGGCGCTCGAGAAGGCTCTCTAGACTGGTCTGGTCTCTCCCTTCCTCGGGGTGCGGTGGGTGTCTAAAAATCACGAGAAGACGTCACGAGATGCACGCGTCTCCCCGCCCCGCCGACTCTGGGCCCTGCTTCTGTTTTCAGAGAGGATTGCGAGCAGAAATAGCGGTGGGAGGGGGGCTGTCTCGGGCGGCACTGGGCGACGGGGCTTGGACGGCAAGGTCCCGTCTCGTGTTGGGGCAGTGCGGCCGCGGCCTCACATTGGGGGAGAAGACTGGCTGCGAGGCTTGCTGCCTCCCCTGTCTTATTTCTGTCCCAAATTTTGGTAACCATCCAAACAGCCCTCTACCATCCCCCCAACGCAATACACACACAAGGGTGGCAGGGTAGAGCGGACGGTCGATTTCTCATTAGCAGCATTCAACTTTCGTGCTACAGAAAAGAGGTCTGCAGCTCATCCCATGTCAGCCGAAGCTGGGAACTGGGAGCTGGGAAAAAGCCAAACATTGTGATTTTCTTCAGACTTTGTATTAAATTAAAATAATTTTTTTGTGAAATGATAAATTAGGTAACTATTTATTCAGACAAATTCAAATAGATATGAACTTCAAAACAGAACAATAAAGTTAATAACAGAAAAAAAATCACAGCAAATAATAATTGAGTCACCATTAACAAGCATTTTATGAAAAAGGAAAGGAAAACCCTTATTTTAAACAATATGTTTTTGACTTCTATCAATATACACTTGACTAAATGGTCCTCATTATTAAACAAGAAGGGAAGTGCCAAAAAAATGCTTCTAAGAGGAACAGCTGATCTAGCCTCTATGAATAGAAGTTGAGAAAAAAGAACTAAACTAACATTTGGCCCTCATCAAAAGATTTGTAAACTTGGATAAAGCATTTTAATGCAACCATGGAACATCTTGCAGAAGGCACATACTGACAGCAAAAACATGCCAAGCCATTTTTCTCTAAAGAGGTAAGCTGAAAATCAGCTTTAAATGTAACTTTGATAATATCAGAATGTACAGTGATACATGTTAAGCTCAATTGTTCAACAATACCTAAATTTTTTAACTAGCAGCAATTCCCAAAAGCCACAAAATCAGCTTTAAATGTAACTTCGATAATACGTATCAAAATGTACAGTGATACATGTTAAGGTCACATGTTCCACAATACCTAAATAACAAGCCTCAAATTTTACTGACAGTCATCAAATAATGTTGGATGCTCCTGTCATGCTCCTATCAATCACAGGATAAAGATGATGGACAAACAGTGATATTACTAATGAAGATATCATGTTTATTTAATCTATTGCTTTTAAATTTATGAGGGTTAATTCTAAGAAAACCTCTGCAAACTTTCCTCAGACTTTTGTCTTCCCAGTACCTGTCTGGTTAATGATAGGTGTGTGCAGCTTGAACAATATCAGACCATCCACCAAGACTCCATCGAGTCTTCTCAGTTGACTTTGATGATACATGGTCTTCCAAAGATCAAGATACCTACTTGATCAAGGAAAAAGTAACTAACAGCCCTTGTAGCCCTTGCATTGCAACATCCATCCTTAACTTTGTAATTAAAAAGAGATAGAATAAACAAGGGGAAGAAAAATCTAGAAACCCAACATACTAAAAGCCACTAAAAGCTTTTCCTCACAAAAAAAGAAGTTTAAAAGAAATACTGCTTGTTACCTTCCTACATGAAACAGAATTTTAAGCACCTTAAGATAAAACAATTGGATTTATAGAAGTTTCTCAAATATCACAATGTGAAAACCAGAAGCTTTAAGATGCACTTTGGAAAGTGTTTACCAAAACTTTTGTTTATAGTCAGTCTTGGTTGTGGGAGAAGATCACCACCATTGGGATGCGTCAGTTGCTTAATTAACAGCTAGAGAACACAACTCTGCTTGAAAATTTTGAATGACCTGCTTTCCAAGACAAGAACAGTGAACCTTCCCTCCTCCAATCACAGGATATAATCACATAATACTTATTCCACAAAAAGTATAGACCCTTTCATATTTTTAACAGCATTATCTAGGTGCTGATTCTTTGTAGATTTGAAACTTCTGTTTTTACATACCGGTATCACACTTACACATGAAATCTTCTCTCTCAGAAGAAATTAATTAACTTGGTGATAAGAAAGTATAATATAAATGCCACTTTGAGCAAACAAATTGAAAAACGCATTAAAAGGGGAAAATATACGTCATTCAATAAGAACACTTCAGTAGCACAACTAAAAATCAATATTGTACATGAAACATTAAATCCAACCAAAACAAATATTTCTTTCCACCTCTCACAGAACATACATCTCATCACATGCTTTTTGCTTACTTTTCAGACTAGAGCTATTTCATAGCAAGTTTATAGCTTTAGTTTAGTAAAGCATATTCTTACCCACAATTTAACGGTGATATGAGATAATATTTATCCCTCCCAACGAGAGCACTCCAAGCTTTAAGAGTGCACTACTTACTTAGTAATCATTAAAATCACAGAAGGCCAGTCTTTTGCTTTATCAACCAGTCTAGGGAAGAAAAAACAATTACATATCTTTAGGTTCCACACAAGTAGTTTCTTTCTTCCGTGATATTTGACCAAGTTCTTCTTTTTTTAAGAGTTGATCAATCTGTAACAAATATGAAATGGAGTCATGTAAAAGTAAGGAGAGCTTGGTAATTTTCATTGCGTTCATTTCAATTAATTTTATTCACCTGTGCTTTGTACATATCCTTGACATCTTGAAGATCCAAGCGAAGCTCTTGAGTCTCTTCTAATTTCTCTCCATACAGCTGAAGAAGGGCATCATATTCAGTTCTCAATGATGATAACTGAGAGGAGAGTTCCTCTTGTAAATGGATGCTTGAATTCAATCGAGTTTCTTGCTCCTCTGCACGTACAGAGAGTGTTGATAGTTCAGCTGTCAATGCACATCTTTGGGCTTCTCGTCTAGAGAGTTCCCATTGCAGTTGTTGCACTTCACCTACAATTTGAATGAATGAAGAAGTAAGCAAAATGGAGGCTTCCAATAGCTGATCCTAATGGACATGTGATGGACCTGTGTACCTTCACGAAGTTTCAATTGAGACTGTAGTCCTTCTAAGACTGAGGTAGTGTGATTTAAACGTACGCTTTCATAGACATTTCTTCCTGACATAGAAGTAGTTTCGAAACCTTCATCTGAAAACTGATGACAGCGAATCAGTAAATGGAACTGCTTTACATGCACTTCTGCAAAAAATGTTGTGGTAATTTACTTACGACTGGCCAAGCTACACTGGAAACAGATTCTGATATGGATTCACGGCCAAAACTAATGGTTGGAGAGGAATGGCCCGAAGCAACAACCAAGGGTGATTCCCTTTTCCCTAAGTCTGTATCTCTTTCTTTATCCTGATCTAGAGTCCTCTCACGATCAGTAAGTTGTTCCTGAAAAAATTTCGGGCATAGCAGCAAAACTTATACAGTATATAACAATTAAAAACAATTACACGCACATTAACACACCAAAAAGAAACAAACAAAGAAACTTACCTGCAATTGTATACACCTCCTCTTCTCAGCTTCAACAGCAGCTCTCTCAACACTTAATTGATGGTCCACTGAGGATAGCTGTCTTTTTAAGTCATTTACTTGGCTTTCAAGCACATTTCTGCTTTCTTCAGACAACTTAGTTGCTCTATCCAAAACAATTTGAAGATTTAATTAACAACTACTAAAATCAATTCATAAATAAAAGTTATGTTAAAAAACTAGAAACACAAACCTATCTAATTCTGACTGAAGTTGAGATGAGCGGTCTTGCATGGCTTGAGAGGTTTGGAGAGAAGCTGAGAGCTTGTTCTCTAATTTAGAAACTTTACTGCGTAGAGTAAGTAACTCTTCACGTGCTCCTCGCTCAGCTTCAGTCACTTGTTCAAGTTGAGATTGAGCTTCAGCTATTAACAGAAAACAAAGCATGAAAAACGAATGAAATGCAAACTTGTCTTTAGATCTCTGCTGACTTAGAAATTACCCAGAGCATCAGAGAGACTGCGTTCTTGTCTTTCCCATGCATCTTGCTGTGTTTTGCTGCTGGCCTGGAATGTTTGCAACTGCCTTAGCAATGGCCGGGTGGCTTCAGACAACTGTTGGGACAACTCCTCACTACGACGCTCTGCACTCTCAAGTCTTTGGAGAAGTTCGCCTTCTCTCCTGCAACAGAGAAACAGCGGTTTTCCGATAAATCTTTCTCTTTTCTTAAATGTATAATGGTAAGAATTCTGGAAAAGAACAAACCTGCTCTGTTGGGACTCAACTTGGGCAAGCTGCTCTCTCATAGTATCCATCTGAGCCATAATTTGACGCTTGTGTTGCTGTGCTGCAGACAGAGCAGCCTCAAGTTCAGCTCTTGCTGACTCTTCAACATTTTCTCTTGCTTCTTTGACTCTTTGATCAGCTCCTTCTTCACGAGCTCTAGCATCATCAAGTTCCCTATAACAATGTAAAGACAGGAGAAATAATATGACAAAGTCTGATCAATGTCTGGCAAAATAGATGTGATAGATATGAGATGGTATTGAGATTTTACTGCTTTTTATTGCTATATGTGTATGTTTGAAATAATATACCTACTTTTGAGTGCTGTCTAAAGTTCCCTGAGTGCTTTCGGCAAGTTTTTGAAAATGGTCTCGGACTTCTTTCATAGCCAGAATCTCTGCATCTTGCTTTTTCACTCGGGCTGTCAGTTGATGGACAGCTTCAATCTGTGAACGTTCTACATCTTCTTTTGCTGCTAATGATCGTTTTAGGCGTTCTATTTCACCAGTCAAATTGTCTACTTGCTCCCTGGAAATTAACACAAAAATAAAGGGAAGAAATCTTGAGCACATTATACACTTGTAAGGAGGAAATCCATGCACACCTGAGAGATTTAATAGTGGAATCGTTTTCTTTTTCTTTTGCTCTTAGTTTCTTGATAAGGTTGCTCTGTTGCAACTGTTGGCGTGATAACTTTTCTCCTTCCTCCCGTAACTCCTTAATAGTTTCATCTCGTTCTCCTACATGCTCAGTCAGTTCATGAGCCAATTCTGATTTAGATTGCTGCAGTGTGAAAATTGAAAGATGAAGGTCAGAAAGACAACTAGTGCACTTCAAAAATGGATATTTTATGAAATATTCACAAAACGTGAAACATAAAGCATGATTGTAATGAATGAATCAAATGTTGTTTTGATTTAAGTGTGCAATCAGACCTCAAGCTGTCTCTGTAGAATATCCTTATCCCTGATTGCCTGTTGGAACTTCCTCTCAAGCGCAGATAAGCGGCGCGTAAACTCTTCATTCAGACTTCGGGATTCTACTAGTCTGGACTGCTGGGCATTTTCTAGCTGACTGAAAGACACAATAAAACTTGTTTTGATGGGGTCTTATATCAATGTATTTTAGTGACCTCTGATCCTCACCTTCGCATTTCCTGGTAACTCTCTTGTAATTCCGCATGAGACCGACTTAAGACTAAAAGCTTTGTCTCTCTTGCCTCAAGCAACTCAGTCATTTCACTCAGCCTCTGCAAAAAGTTTGTTTTCATTTTTGATCAAGATTACATAACAGTGCCAGAAGATCGGCATAATATACACCCACCTTTAGCAGTCGGTCCATTTCAGAACTGTGGCTGTCATCAGATCCACCGCTGGATGCCTCAGATGGTTCCCTTTGATGACCTGTGAACAGGTGTTTTAATGTGATTGGGTAAAGATTGGCCAACAGATGTTACTGGAGGCACAGTTTATGAACAACTGGTTAAGGAGAGACAGAATATAGTCAATCAAAGAGTTATAATAATTTTCCAGTACAGTTTTCAAAAAGTAATTTAAGGCTGGTGCGTCAGTTTATTTGTGAAATAAGTTAACTGGCATGCAAAAGAATACAAAAAAGTGAAATGATTAAGGGTTGTCTTCTTGCAGTGTCCCAAAAGTTGTATGGAGGCAACACATTTTAGATAAGACTAATACAAAGAAAAATAGTTTATTTGGTCAATATATACCCTATGGCAATGGCAGAAGATTGCGGTCAACACAAAGATGGCGATCTACAACACATCAAACTGCCAGTAAAGATTCTGAAAACTGCCACTAAGGAACAAAATGTTGCCTCTTTGAAGTTTCCAGATCAATTTACACTAGCAATATAAAAGAGACACAGATGAAAATGTTCCAATAAACAAAAGTATTGTACGCACCAATTGTTAAAAGCAGTTCTTTTAAAAAAACATACAAAAAGTATTTATGCTTCATTTGTGGACAGAAGACTGAGTCACAAAATCAATAACATCTATAAATGGCCTCTGGAAGGGGGAAAAGTAATCTCTAGGAAAGTGATATACAAAGTCTCAAGGTACACGACGTCCATGGTTGAATAGCTTGGTCTAGCGAACTAGATAATACTGAAATTGTAATCCTCAGAGGGAGAAGTCCTATCTACAACATAACCAAAGAACTTAATACGGCAAAAAAGGAGATCATGAAAACATCATGAAACTTGTTACAAAGTACCTTACAGAACAATGCTGACTTTATTACAAACATTTAAGGAAATGAAACAAGATCAGATTCTCAAATAAAAATAAACCTTTAGAAGCTAGTTTGAATTGACAAGAGGGAAACATTTGGAAGCTTATAGAAGGTAGATTTTGAAAATAAGCCACTAAGAAATTCTTGGGTTAAAGATACACACAAAACATTTATAAAAACATGTAACATGAAATTAAACTGGCCAAAATTTACAAAGGGAGCTGAAATGAACATGTAAGCAAGCCAAATAAATGCAACCAAAACCATAAGGCAAAGTGTAGGTTGGAAAACATATTCAAGACACTTGATGTAGGGTCATAAGATTTCAAATATTAATAAAGTTTCAATGTGAGAAAAAAAAGTTATCCAAATTAAGGCAGATGTTATTTTACCCAGGGAATCTCCACATCAGTCTTTATTAACAGCCAACAAAGAGTCAAAGAAATCAATGTAATGTCAATGTACCAAAAAACTCATGAGATTTTCTTTTCAATCAGCATTTGAAACAGGGATGAGTAAAATGGCACATCACATCTCAGTTTCCAAATATAGCAAGTAGGTTTGTTTCATTAGTCTGAATCACTAGGTGCGTCAGATTAATGAATAACCAAACTTTAGGGTTTGACAAAACTTAGCAAGCAGCGATATGATAAATGATAATATAGCACATATTAAATAGCCCACGCCAAAAAAAAAAAAAAAAAAGATGAAACATAGAAGATGATGAGGGATAACAAGAAAAGGAAGGTAGACAAGGGAAGAATATGCAATAAATGTGGCACGTACGTTCTCTAACCATAACTTTGACTAGATATTAACAACATCTTAATCTAAAATTTTAACCATTACCATTAAACAACACTTTCCTCATAATCTGAAACTGAAGAAAACATAGCCATGCAACAACTCACATGTCTAGTTTTTCTTCATTTAATTCTATTTCCAGACTTATTATCACACTTGCAAAAATACTGTTCACAAAGAAACTGCTGTTCCCTTCCCATTCTAAATTTCTTTTCTTTTGCTTAAAAAAGGGTGACAATGCTGTCCGTGAAACAAGCCAATTAGAAATTAGGAGCCACTAAGGACCAATAAAAAAGACAAGCATCAACAGTTCAACATGATTTTGAGAAATTAAATAGGAATAATAAAAGATTCCAAAGCAAATATGAATAATCAACAATTTTAGTGTCACTAGTTTTCATTACACAGCGAATTAAAACAGCTGAGAGCTCTGGTATGGGATGTAGCATATGTTTCAAGCAAGGAGACAGCCTGGGACTAAAAAAGGGTCACATGGACTACAAAATGTTCTACAGATTCCAAAATAATTGAAAACTCATTTGAATCATGATTAAATGTCAATATGGAACCAAATAGCCCTAAATAAACGAACATTACCGGCGATACCTTACAATATACGTAGTACACAATTACTCCTTGAGGCAGGAATGCAGACAATTTCATCTACAAGCCTCATTGGAAAGATACCACATATGGGGAAACATATACCAATGTAATCATGAAAAGATATCTTGGCAATTGAAGCAGCATAGGATGATATCATTTTGATTGTGCTCCAAACACAGGCAATATATAGATATATATTTATGTATAAATATACGCAAGAGTAGTCAAAAACAACCAAAAAATGGAACCTCCCTACAAGTTCTAACAAGAGACAAGTGTGAGCACAGCCAACGGTTACCTAACTTAGTAATTGTTTTAAACTTAAACAATCAATAATGACAAATAGGTTTTCAATGATAATACGACCAAGTATGTCAATACATTTTGATGAAAATTTCAGGTCAAGTCTTTCTAGTAAGCTAAATCATCGACTGCACTGTGAATGTCATACAATTTTGCTCAGATGGCTCAGAATTAAATGAAGGGAGGGATGCACAACACAAGTTTCCCATATGTCAACACTTACAATTTACTCAAAGACATGGGAGTTTCAAAATTGAGTCAAATCCAATTTTACAATCAAGACCAGAAAATTTTTAAGGTAATGTGAAGCAACAATTTACACTTCAGAGTTTCAGACATTAAAACCACTCTATACCAGTAGAGTCTTTTAAGTCACACTCTGACAATTTGCTAACATAATCTAAATGCTCATTCTAATAGACTTCACAGTAAGAACCATACGTGACTCTTTAGAAATAGGAGCAATTATGGGTTTAAACAGTAAATCTAAAAAATACTGAGATTAGCATGAACGCTAGTATGAAAGCATTACCATAACAGTGGCATTGTTGAATTGCATGCCTCAATTTAGCCTTCCTTATTTGACTACACCAATACTCAGCCATGAAAAAATGATACCATTATAATTGTGCTTCCCAAGCCCTACAGAAATTCAGTCAACATTGCATATGAAATGACTGGGTCTACCCAGTTAGCTGTGTCACTCAAAGAAGCTCTGCTATGCTAAGCTGGTCAATTGAATGGACTCAGGACAGTCCTGGGTGACGGATCTCTTGTCAAATGGCCTTTGTTCACAAGAAAAGTTGTTGTTTTCTAGAAGTCTTCTTTGTCTTCGTCGTCGCATGTACACATACAATGAAACACACGCAATGAACGATAGGAATATGGCAACAGCAACACCTCCAGCAATGCCAGCTGTTTCAATAAGGTATGCTCTGTAGGTTCCATCAAGCATTTTATACTCACATCTGGTGCCCCAGAAACCATCAGCACAAGAACAACTATATACTTTTCTATCATGAGAGAATCGTATCTCAACACACTCTGCTCCATTAAGACAGAAGACCTCTGCTAATTGAGAAGGACAACTATAAAGTGCGTCATGCTCTGTTATGTTGGGACGTGGTGTTGAGGGTGGCCTTCGTGGAGGTGTTCGTGAAGAACATGCATCACAGTAGCTCAGCCTCAGGAGGAAGATGAAAAGCCATAGTAGAATTACACCAAACTCCAAGTCGCGAAAGTGAGCTGCAGAGAAAACCATGCCATGTTGGTATTGTATAGCTGCTATTGATGCCACAGTCCAATCAATAAGCTAGTGGAAAAAATCCAAAGGAGGAATTGACAATACATTGAAATTTCCATGCAAGTAGACAGAGGAAGCAAGAAATGAGTTCATCACCCTAGGGTCATTTAAAAAAAAAAACTGCCTCTCCAATGGAATTAGATCCAATCACTTAGAAGATTGAAATGTGCCTCTAGGCATGAGAAGCAAGTGCACAAAAAATTGATATTGATTCCATTCAGTTGTTCTTGTGCACATTGAGAAACCACATTATTTTTAACATGAAGGATCAAAAACAGAAAGAACATTTAAGTACTGTAAGTACCAATTAAGATCCGGATATTGGAACAATTAGATTAATAAGCAGGTTGCTCCTACTTCAGCCTCTAACAGCCAATAAGACGTTTGTTGAACATCTTTGATAATATATAATGGGTTAGATTACTGCAGAAAAACAAGCAAAGCACACAAGAAAACCAGATGAAATACAAATAATAATGGGAAAGCAAACAGAGTGCAGCCAAGCTAATCATGCTTTATAACAATTCCGCACACATCTACTTACCTTTAATCTTCCCAGAAAATTTAAGCATATCCACAGGACCCTGGGAAACTCTTTGTAGATGTTTTGCTGGACTCTGTCTAGAAGCAGTGCTGCTCCCATCTCCATTAGGGCTAGATATAATTTCTATATCAGATGAAGTTGTTGTTTCAAGCTCGTCACCAGAGGTATGACCACTTGTTTGTTCTGACCCCAACCTCAAACCCTGAAAACATGTCACAAGTTTAACTAAAAGTACTTTTTGTTACTAACTAATTCTATGACAATGAAAGCCTTACATCAGAGCGACTTTCAACAGATACAGGAGAATTGACTCTTATTTGGGCAGAATCATCTACCATGGCATCAGCAAGAAGATTCCTCACATATCCCGAGGTGCTTTGCTGAGACTGACTGTCACTTCCTGGGATAGTATCATCTGAGCTGCTTCCAACTAATGTCCCTTCACCACTGCTGTCTGTCAGAGTTAGTCCAGAACCTCCTCCGTCAACGTGTAAGTCAGAGCCTACATCGAGTGAAGATTGTTTTGGTTCTTTCTCAACTGCTCTGGGGGGGGAATCTTTTGGTTTGGTTGAGGTCTTCTTTGGACTTGCAGGCAGTTTCATTGAAATGTTTTCTAAGCTGCTTTCATGAGATTTAAATGCAGGACTTAGTCTCTCTGATGATTGCTGACTTGTGCTTGCCCAGGATGACTTTGAAGTTTGGGGGTATTCAGACCGAATAGTATCCGTGGAGGAGTCAAGTAAAGATGATACAGATGAATCAGTTTGTCCTAGGAAAGAAAAAGAAGGAAGACAATGGCAATGAATGGAACAGTGTTCACCTGACAGTGCAATTTTGAATGAACATACCAGAAATAGAACTAGTATTAAAGTCTGAATGCCCGGCTGAGTCAATGGGTTCCACATAACTTGTGGAGCTTTCCATGGTAGAACAGAGCAACCCATGAGGTTCAAGTATAGTTGCTTGGGTCATGGTGCTTTCTGATGCTGATGCAGAGGCATAGCTATCATCAGCAAAGCTTACATCATCATCTTCTTCTGGGACAATTTCAACACTATCTGGGGATGCGAGGTTGTCTGAACTAGGACATGGCCTGCAAGCAAGATGAAAAATATAGAATCACTCGCAACTGTGAAAATATCATCGTAAAATGACAGTGGACATACCTGTCTAATGGAGGCTCTAGTGGAGAACATAAGGATGTACTACTACTATGGCTCCCTAAGACTTCCACTGACGCACTATAACTTTCTGAACTTTCAGCTATGACTTCAACAGAATCTGGAGAGCCAATAGACACTGGCCTAAACCCAACAGATGACTAAAAGGAAAAATAAAAGCCCAAACAAGAATAAATAAAAACATTCAATTGAAGTGTTATAATAGATATAAGTACTGAAAATAACTTACAGCTAAAGAGGAAGCAGATAATGAAGTTGGCAAATCCGAGTCCGGGCTTGCAGTACAGCTTGTCGACCCAAGGATTTCGACACTATCGGAAGATCTGCGATCACTTTCAGAAGAAATGACTGAAAGTCGATTGTTGCTAAAACTGTTTCTATTCTGAGATCGCTCACAGTGCTTGTCTTTTCTCCTTCGTTCAACTTCATCAGAGAGTGGAATGGAGGTAGTATTACCACACTTATCTGAAAACAATCAAAGGCTTATTGTTAGAAAAATAGGAGTGTAGTTTTGTTGCAAACAAGAACTCTGGAAAAATTTAAGAAAGAGTACCATCATTAGGGGTAGATGATTCTACAACAAGTTGTGTTTTAGAAAATACATCCCGGACTGTTCCATCATCTTCTAAGGCTAGCTCAGTGTCAACATCTGTATCTATATGAGCTGCTAATAGCCTGGAAACTGCACTTCTCTTGGGTTGTTGTGAAATGGGGCTACTAGAACCCTCATCTGAATGAGTAAACAAGCGAAGTTGTTAATAAAGAAAAAACAAGAAAAACAACAAAAAACAAACTACAGTTTGAAAATCAAATTTACCTCCAGGGGACGGCAATGGTCTTGGATTTTCGAAGAAAGAGCCAGTGAAGGACCCCCAAAGACTAGAGGAAACTGTCTCTTGAGGTACAGAAAATGCTGGATTCTTATCTGGGGAACTATCAGCCTTAACACCCCAATTAGAGAAAAAACTGTCAGAGTCATCTTTGCCTAGAGCTGAAACTTAATAAAAAGTACTTATCAGTCAGATAAAATGCAATTAAAAACAAAAAGTAAAAATTAGAAATCAGTGATCTGGCTTACCAGGTACTTCAATTTTATCAACACTGTCCACCTCTTCTTTAATATCAAGGGCCTTATCTATGGCTTTTTGAGCACCTTTCACAGCTGATTTTGCTGCAGTGACAAGTTCAGTAGCCCCAAACCAATTCATGATTATTAGCTTTTACAAGTAAAACCTGTCCAAGGAAATAAAACATATTGTAAGTAAGAGTAACACATTAATGCCAAAAATGATGATCCAATGAGAAAAGAAGTCAGTAGAATCTTTGAAAAATACTTCTTAAAGACAAAATAGTGAAAAACTAAAATGAATAAGGTCACTTAATATTTTGAAATAATGTGTCACTCGGCCACACCTCTCAGATGATGTGCTACCCTTGGTAAAGCAAGATAACAGATAAGGCAGTGGTCCTCAACTAGAATGATAGATCTGAAGTAACATACCATGGAATGGACATGATAAAATAACATCGACGTAAAGTGTTTTAAAAATACCATAGAGTATCAATCTAATGAGAGGAATAAATCATACTAAGTGGACAAATTAGTGTTTATAAGTCATACAGACAATATACAAACAATTACACATTTTTTTTTTAAAAAAAGGACAAATTAAAGATGGCAGTTTAGAGAAAATTTTAATAATGAGATCACATGCAAGGAAAATTCTTCCTCGGTACAATTAACATGTAGTGGTCTCCAGAGTCTTTAATCTGAAAGTAGACTGTGTCCTAGTTGAGGTTATGTAAAATACTGATAGGGTTAAAGGTTCCTTAAAAGATTGTAGCTTAAGTTTGGGTAGAAGCATCCAGTGTGGAGCAATTTCAATGCAGATTTGGTGGTTCCTACGAGCATATTTTAGAGCTATTGACAGGTACACAGACAAAACATAACCCAAGATTCAATGATCCAGATTATATGAAATTCGTGATGTCACATTTATTTCTTTCAGTGAAAATATCAAAGTAAGTGTTAAAGTATCTGAAAACCAGAGAAAATTCAGTTTGAGAAGTGTATTTTTTGTTTATGTTTAAAACGAATGACAAGCCTACGTCAACGTCGCATCCACTAGTAATACATTAAAAAAAAAATACAACCCACAAACAATCGTAAGCACGCAACTATTCTGCGAAACTTTCTATGATTAATAATTTACGTCTTCGCGCGTCACATTGGCTTTGAACAGCCTCAATTAACTTACCATTACAAGAACGTCAAAGCAGAGGACATCAGATGCAAGTGCCAAAAACTTCTTCGGTTTCTGAATACATTTGCCGATTTCTTCCGGACAGATTTCATAAGATAATTTCCCCAAATAGATTGAAAGTGATAATAACATGATACCTAAAGTTACACATTAGCCAAAAATGTTCCCACAAAAATTTCCACAAGAAATAAGACGCGAGGACGTCCTTTGATGGGGCGTGTGTAACCACGAGTTGAGATCAACAAACTGAGTTCTGTTGTCAAGAACTTTCGATGTAAGTACGAGCTGTTTACAAGTGATAAAAATATTTCCAATTTAATTGATCTTTGACAGAATTAGGCCTGTGCATGTCTTGAAAATCATGCCACGTGCATTCAGGTAAACAATGACGATATGCATTGTTGGATTGGCAGCAATGATAATCCTACGCAGGCACCAACCTTCTCATAAAAATGGACAATACAAAATCCTCAACAAAGTATTTACATTGCAATAATGATTCTTAATTTTCAAAATATTATAAAAAAAATTCATGGAGCTAAACTGTGGCGAGTTTAGAAGATTGAAGGAAGGAGGTTTTTCCGTACAAAGCTTATTGGGTTTTAGGTTGGGAGCACTTTTCCCGTCGGACACGTCGCCATATTTTCCAGTTATTTTGCCGTATTTCCGTAATTTGTGTGATGTTTTGCTATACTCGTGAACGGAATCTGATCATTTCGTCTCAAGCACTTGCCGGAGTAGTCAAAGGGTGCCTCCACGTAGCGGGTTACAGCACGGGACAGGATGCTTAAAGGGTGCATGGTATTTGTCGACCCACATCGGCAGTTGCCCCAGTGGCGCAATCGGTTAGCGCACGGTACTTATAGACAGTGGTCGTGAGCAATGCCGGGGTTGTGAGTTCGAGCCTCACCTGGGGCATTTTTTTTCTGGGACATTTGTCGTGTTTCATTGACCTTGGGTTTACCTCGGTGTCCAAAAAGCTTGACCGGTACTTAGAAACGCCACGGAAACCTACACTATGCTTCCAAAAAACAGAATTGGAAAACCACACTTCAGCATGCATGTTTTGGAAAACTTTGTGATTGTCTAATTGAATATCCGTGACACTGTATCTTGACTGACATTCAGCCGAACAGCGTCAGAACAACAAACAATAAACCTTCAGCTTGTAATCTGGACACAAAATGTTAGTTTGGCTGTAAGTGATATAGATGATTCTTTAACTTTTTATGTAGGGCAAATAAAACAATATTACAAAATAATCTTGGTGAATAAGTTTACTTGCAAAATATTCTGGTAAAGACCAACTGAAAAACACAACATTAACAACAACAAAGCAAACAAAAATGCCTGTTCCGGGTCACAACAAATGGGACGGTACCAGCCCTATAATTTCGAGTTCAAAGTTGTGCAAATGTGCTAGTACTAGATTTCTTACAGTTTGACTGCTTACTGCCAAACGCGAACACTACGGCTGGTCACGGCGCTTGTCTGAAAGTTAACACCCCGCGTCGCTGTATTCCCTTTCTATTTGTTTTTCTCCATAAGTTACAGAGGCTACCATTTGCTTGGACTGGTTGGCACCGCCTTGGCGCCGCTGCCCTTCAGCATTGCCCGCAGACCGCGCGTGTATGACACGAACCTAGGGACCTAGGCCTGCCTGGCAGCTAGACGCCTCGCCCAGCCTGAGGCTGCCTGAGGCCCGAGTATGCGTGCTATGTACGGCCAGGTACGGCGTTGGGGCCACCCTACCTGTTGCTGGCGAGTGGGACGGCACTGGGGGCAGCATAGCATGCGCGATGGGGCAGCGGAGGGGCGTCGTGGAAAAGGGAAAGGGGGGGGGGGGAGTGGTGTCGCCCTGGCGTGTCTTGGCCTGGTCTAGCGTAGTCTAGCGTGGCCCGATGTGCCGGGTGCCTCCGGGGACTGGGAAGGGTACGTCATAGTGTCCCTTTGTCTGGCTACCTTCCGCACCAGCACACCACCAGTTCACAATGGAGGTGCCGCTCTCTCTCTCTCCCTCTCTCTCTCCCTCTCTCTCTCTCTCTCTCTCTCTCTCTCTCTCTCTCTCTCTCTCTCTCTCTCACACACACACACACACGCGCGCGCGTTTGTTGCTTTTCTCTAATGTTCCTTGACGTCGCTGAAGGTGGCTTTCAGTTCGTACCGATAGTACGGATACTACGTACTACGTTACCTACATTGTAATGACACCATTGGGAAGGCCGTCTGCCCAAATGCCTTTCCAGAGCCATTCTTGCCCTTCCCTCTCCCGCCCCCCGGGCCCCGGCTCCAACCTTGCGGAGGTCCACTCGCCCATCCCTCCCCCTGCGCCCCACGCTGCCGCCACCAGCCGCCGCCGCCGCGCCAGTCGGGTGTAAGCCTTGGTGGTGCGCGGGTGGCCTAGCTTGACGGCAGCGGGTGGGACTAGAGGGCGCGACGACGCAGCGGCGAAGAGAGCTCGCAGCGGCCAGCGTGCCCCCGGCGAGCGGGCCCACTGCCACCAGTCCTGCAGAGGTAAAGCCGACGCTTTTCTGGGAACGCTCTGTTTTGCTTGGCAGGGGGCTGCTTCGCGCCACCTTGCTGCTTTGCTAGTTGCCGCCGTGTTTGTGTTTGGCGACGGCCGCGGCGGGGGAAGTCCCAAACCAGGGTCGGTGGCCCGGCGGCCCTGCGGCCCTGCCGCCAGGACGGGTCGGAACTGCGTATAATGCGGACGACGGGCGAGCGAGTTTGGCCCCAATTGATCTTTAGTAACGCCATGGTGTGCCGCGGTGCCGCGGCGCGCCTCTCCTTGTCGTGGCGCGCCGCGCCTTGCCGCTTTGTTTGAATTGGGAAGAAGGCGAGAGGCGAGCCCTCCGGCCAGCACGCGGTAAGTGGATTGAACACAGCCGCGGAGGGGGCGGGGCGGGGTGCCAATTTTCATTTGCCTTGGTATGAATAGTTGATAAGGAGCGCTGCGCCCGACGGCCCGACTGCCCGACGCGTCGACCCGCGACGGCTGCCCGCGGCCCGCCCGCCGAGGCCTGGCGAGGCCTGGCGAGGCCCGCCCCTCAGCATCCCCGCCCCTGGCCTCGTCCAGGCCCCGTCCAGGCCTCGGCCCCACAGCGTGCGAAGTCTAATTCCAGAGGCGTGGCCGAGGCGGGCCGCGTCGGGCCGAGGCGGGCCAGGCTCGTCGCGCTCGTCGCGCGCTGCGAGCGAGGGTCGGCGAGGGTCGGCGAGGGCGCTGCCGCGGGATTAGGCGGCCTGTGACTACACCCCGTTCCAAGAGGAACTGAGCCTTCTCGTCGACGCAGAGCGACGACGGGGGACAGCGCCCACACTACCTGCAGGGCCTCCACGACACACCATGCGAAGGCTGTGGTCTGTGGTACCTGTAGGCCGTGCGGTTGGGGACACGTGTTGAGTGGGACATCCATCCCATCCCACCCCCATGGGCCCTTCGCTTCGCCCCTCGCACTTCTCTTCGCCCTTTGCCCTTAACTCTTCGCTTCGCCCTTCGCTTCGCCCTTCGCTTCGCTCTTCGCTTCGCCCTTCGCTTCGCTCTTCGCTTCGCTCTTCGCTTCGCCCTTCGCTTCGCTCTTCGCTTCGCCCTTCGCTTCGCCCTTCGCTCCGCCCCTCGCCCTCCCGCTGGGCTGTTGACTCGTCGAACCGCCGAACGGCAGCGCCGCAAGTGCAGGGCCACACCAACCTCCGGACCGCTGGAGGCGAGAAGCGAGAGGGGGAATGTTTGCAGCGCAGTGCGCCAGTCGAGGCAGTCGAAGCAGTTCCCCGTCGCGCAACTTAAGGCCGTTCACCACTAGACTAGAGAGACTCTATTCGCTACCGGCGGCGTTTTGGCGCCGATTGTGAAGAGAGGGTAGAAAGGCCGCTATCGCCGTCATCTTTACGACGACTGCCCGTTCACGGCCCGTTTTTCACCTTGCCTGCCTCGCCTGCCCGGCGATTCTTCTTGGCCCAGTCGGCCAGGGGCGGGGGCAAGGGGCAAGGGGCGGGGGCCAGGCTGTGAAAAAGGCGCATCGCTTACCTCTCTCTCGACCTCTCTGCCTCCTTCTCGTTTTTATTCGTCGCATGCGTGTCCAGTTCGGTCCAGTTGAATGGGAATTCCAGCGGGTCCCAACTTTTTCTGTCGGCTCACGTAACGCCATTTTTGGACAGGCGAACCCTCGTGTCACCTTACTTGCAAATGAAACCTCGCGGGTCATCGATCGGATACTGTACGCCCCTCCCCACAAAAAAACAAATGGAGAAACATTGCTTGGGCGAGAATTCGACCACTGAATCATAAATTGTGCGCAATTAAGTGTAGTGTGGGTTAGGCTGGGCGCGTACAATGAGTGCAAGAAGTGGCGGCAGACCCCTTGTGCTTGGACCACTTCGGGCCTTCGGGTGGGGCGTATGCCCGTCTGCGGCCAAGACCTCCGCCAGGCTCTACGCCAGGCCTGGCCCCTAGCCTCGCCCCTAGCCTCGCCCCTAGCCTCGCCCCCAGCCTCGCCCCCAGCCTCGCCCCCAGCATGGCCAGGCCGCCACGGGCTCAGCACAAAAAGGGCACTCCACCTGGCTCCCCTCACGACTGCGGTCGCACGTCGCACTGGGCTGACTGGGCCGGCGCAGAAAATCTCGTTTCAGATTGGGTGCGCCCTGCGCTGCGACAGCCCTGCAGCACGTGTACACACGGCCAGAAGGGACAACACCATTTGCGTAAAATAAAGACAAGAGAAAACGGAAACAAAATAAAGCCGTCGGATGTAGGGGGAGGTTTTCCTGAGGCTCGGAGCGACGTGCCACAACATCGCGCCCGTCGTCGGCGACGGTCGGACGGGGGCCCGTTACCATACGACGTCCTTCGCAGAGCGTCATGTATTTTCATCAAGATTGCACGAGGCGACGTTGCCTGGACGACACAGCGTTGTCTGCTTCCTCCGGGCAGCCATGCGCAAGGCCCTGGGCCACAGCGTGAAAACTTAATCGGCATCCGGGTGCTCGACATGTCGTGGAACGAATCGCGCCTGGCAGTCGGTGCTCCCCGCGCACGCCCCACGCGCCAGGCGCCACGCCGCACATTTCTGACGAGACCGAGACGAGGCGACCCGCATCGCACCGCCTCCTATTGTGGTGAGAGTGGTCGAGTCGTGAGGCACGCGGTGGTGGCGGGCTGGGGCTGGCTGGGGCTGCGGGGCACGTCGGCGTGGCGGTGGTTCGAGGAGCTTGATGGCCGTGGCGTCATGGTGGCGTGCCGTGCCTTGGCTGTGGCGTGGCTGTGCCGTGGGCTGGCTGCGAGCCTCCCATTCCCTCCCTTGTCAGGACGTCGGAAGTGTTTCCAGCACTGGGGCGGGGCTGGGGCGGGGCCGGGGTGGGGTCGCGGGCTGAGGCACGGCGGGCTGTGGTCCTCCCTAACCCCCTAGCTCAGCCCGCTCCAAGTCCCTCAAGTTCACCCCCCCCCCCCCCCCCGAGCTTTCCCTCCACCGTCTGCTACGGCCTCACATCCATCCAGCTGCCCTTTGCACTTACCGACCTTGCAAATAAAGCGACGCGAAAAAGGAGGTTGTGCTCTCGTCTCCGGAAATGATAGCGCCACGCCCCGCCTGCGCACTGCCCCGCCCGCCCCGCCTGCGCACTGCCCCGCCCGCCCCGCCCGCCCCGCCCGCCCCGCCCGCCCCGCCTGTCCGAGTGCGTGGACCGCGGGACAGGCGCGGCCTCGGAGTGCCTCGCGCTGCCTCGCGGCGACTTGCCCCTCCGCCCCCCTTTTCGCCTCCCGGTCCCCTGGCACGAAAACTTTGGAAACTGGCGTACAAAGGGGGATCGGCGGGCAGCCAGCGAGCCCCGCTGAATGCTCGGAGGAGTTCCGGACAGCCCCTAATGACGATTCGAGCAGAATGTTACGTCGCTGGAAAGCCTGGAAACACGGAGCTAATGCGATACTTCACGGCCGGGCGGCCACGACCCTCCACCATAGTGAGGCGGTCTGAACGCCAGCCTCGGCGGACAATCCCGCTCGGATATTCCTGTATTGATAATCACTTGGGGGAGTTTTCCATGTCACCTTTTTCACATTCTAGCGAAATGTGACGTCACATTCCAGCGATGCAGGTGAATATCAGAGTAGAAATTGGCTTGCCCTTGAAACCAGAAATCTATGGGGACCATTATGAGTTTTTTCGATTCCTATTTGGGGGCTTTCCTGATCAGGATGTGACCGGAGTCACTAGCAAACCGGGTCTCGCCGGTTGCTGAGGAGGGCCCGATTCGGTGGGTTCGCGTCGGTGGGTTCGCGTCGCGTCGCTGCGACAAACGCGTCCCCAACATTGAGAGCGGGGAGCGCGTGAGTTGGACCGCTGGTCCCGAAAAAGCAAACAGCACCCGTCCCCTGTTCGAGTTTAGCAAGCGAGTTGCCGCGTATATGTGGGGGGCAAACAAGGCTAACGCGGCGGCGCGGCGTGGGTGGACACAGGTTCTCGGGGCGCTGCGCCCGGAGCGCCGGCCGGCCAGGCCCCGCGGCGTGGCGGCGTGGCGGCTTGGTCGCGCGGGATCATTCGCCTTTTCCCGCCGCCAGGAAAACGCAAAGAGATCGCAGGCACTATGTCCGGGCATGTAGAGCATCGGTGCAGACAGCAGACTGTCTCCAAATCCAAATCTTCAAGTGGGCTGCTGCGAGTGCGCCTGAACTCTGGGAACCCGAAGCTAGTTTGGGAGCCGTCGCCTCACAAAGATAAAGAAAAAATGCGATTGAATCCTCAAAATTATGATTGTGATTGCGTCAGATTATGTTGTTGATCATTTCACTGATTACCAAAAAGGCGCACACTGATTATATCGAAGTGGTTACCCTTTGGTTTTCCATGTGCCACCGCACAGTGGCCGCACAGTGAGGCGGCGCGGGATTATCTTATCCGACTGATGAGGCCGGACGGGCTGGCCGGCAGATTGGCCGCGGGGTCGCGAGCTGCAGCTGGACGCGTTCGTCCACCAAGAAAAGGGATGATCTTCCTTCTAGGAGGGAAACATGAACGAAAGGGAGCATGCCATTTATTTGGCCGTTCCAATTGGAAAATCAGCCAAAGAAAAACGCGAATTAGGTTCGCGGCCATGTTTAAACTTTGAAATACAATACACGCGCTAACTCGGTGGTGGTTTTCTATCCATCACTCGAATTTCACCCCGCTTCCCGGCAGTCCCGGCAGGCCCGGCAGTCGGTGGGTGCCTCTTGGCGTTTCTGGATCACGCCGCGTTTCTGGATCACGCCGCGTTTCTGGCGCGTCCTGGCCGCCGTATCGAGCGGAGGCCGTGCCTCCCTGCGGCCCGGGGGGCCGGGGCCGCACATTATCTGGGCCCACTCTCGCGCACGCATGGACGGCATCATTCCGGAAATGTGCGGGAGGGGTGGGGGAGGGGTGGGGTGGGGAGAGGCGGGCTGCGGGGGGCGAGACGATGCCGGGCCGCTGGGCCATGGCTGGGCCATCCGCCTGCGTGCCGTGCGTGGCCGTGCGTGGCAAGGGTGCGAGGCGAGGCGCCTCGCGGGC